CTTGTGTGTTATGTCTGTGGGGGGCAGGTCTAGCATAAATAGGCCCTCTCTCTAATGAGCCATGCAGGTGTGCAACCCGGTAGGGGCCAATGGTTTTTGACCGCTACTTTTATGGAGTTTTGTTGTCTTGCAATATGCATAAATAAACATTGATTTTTATTCAAGTCCACATCTGTGGACTTATGCATGCAATGGTTAAAGCTAACATAGCCATCTGAAGCGCGTCAGCCAAAGCGACAGGTACAGGTTGGCCACTACATTGAGGATACAGGATTTGATGAATTGTACATAATTGAATTAAATCACATCACATTTCCATATCCAATTAAGTTGCATTTACTTTCATGTGACTGTTGAGTTACCACTAAATATCTCACCTCTGGACCTTGGGGCCCTGTTCTTGAGTTTGGATGGTCGTCAACAATCCTAATTTTATCCACTGTAAAGACGTCGTGCTGTGTCTTCATTTGCAGAGATGTTCTCTCACTTTTTGTTGCCTCGGTTTCCAATTGTTCACGTAACTTAAATTGTTTCATATACAGTCCTTTGTTTGGAAGTTGGGGCTCTTCTTTTCCTTTGTTGGTCAATGATGTGGTTTCTTGATTCTTAGCATGGTCTCTCATTGGTGCAGTTGTTCTTTTTGGTGCCTTGAAAACAGCCGTTGTTGGATGTATTAGGTCTGCAAAAGGAGGCATTGTGGTCCAAGATGCAAACATTTCAGGTAATGGATACTCATCAAATAATTTGTGGTTAGGATTCAAAAAGATTTCCTTTGCTTCCTCATTTAAATTGGTCTCTTGGATGAATATGATATCTCCATTCTCCACGTTTTCATGCAATTTGTAATTAGCTTTAGCCTTGTGACGGTCTTCACAAGATCCCAATGTTGCTTGTTCCAAAGAAATTACTTCATGCAAGTTGTCTGCAGGGCATTCAATGGTAGATCCAACTTTTATCCACATTACATCCTCAATCATCTAGAACACAGACAACAAATAAACATAAATCATACAGTAAACGTATTCCTTGCACTTATAAGTCATTCAAATAAATGAATGAGACTATTACCATAATTTACAAAATTATACCTTTACAAACAAGCCACCATTTAACCCGCGTAATTCATTCATGTTTTAATAGAAAAGCATCAATATTGTTTTTGTTCAGATTCTATTGTAAACACAGAACTTTGAAACCATATAGCTTCATAAAACAAAACATACTTGCAAGGAAAAGCCCTGTGAGGTATAGTTGTTACTTGGGTTAGAGCTAATTGGCTTTAAGACTGGTTCTTTACTATGCTCTTCTGTCTGAAATACATAAATCGTAGAAACAACAATGCTAAAGGCAAATGCATGCAGGTTAGTAACAATTGCTTCTTCCTTTCAGTTTGAAAATCAGGGAACTCAGCTTTAATAGTGGGATTTGAGCCCTTTCTGTAGAGCTGAACACACTGGAGATAAGCCTTGTGTGCATAGAGAAATAGTGAATTAGTGAAACACTAATTTACCAAAATGGGTCGCCAAAGATAAAAGAAGTTGATGGCAGTATTGGGGAAAAGGATACAAATACATGAATGAAAAAACAATAACAAATTGCTCACATCGAACTTAAAAAAACATATTTAATGTAAGCAACTAATAGTAATCAATTCAATTCAATCAATCAAGTAAGTAATTATCCAATGTGCATGGCTTCACTCCTCTCATCTACACAACCTGCATAACGGATTACAAGAAAATGTTTTTGTGAATAATCAATATTATCAATAGTTAGTCTGCACTGGCAGTTTCTAGGCAGATTTAGAGTACAGACGTAAATGTAAAGTAATCAGACTTACACAGAGGAGGAAGAGCAAAGCAGAGCCCCGCATGGTCCTGTCTCGAGTCTGTGATTGAGTGTTCTCTCCTCTTCACTGTGGATTTTCACTTTTCATGCCCCCCCATCCCCCCATACACATACATAGTACCGTGGGGCCAAAGCATGAGCCCATCTCTGTACAAGATAGACCAGTGCTTTCCAAAAGGACTGAAAAATACAGTTTCCAATTAATGTCACTTATATTTATGTATTTTGATTTACACTTGAAAGGAAAAACAATACATATTCTTCATACTGGTTTTTCCCATATTTTACACAAATTACTAGATTTATTATCTACATTTGTTTACAATAAAAGAGAACACTAACTTTCTCATTGATAAATCTTAAAATTTCTTAATCTTTCGTTCTTCTGTTAAAGCTGGAGCTCAGATGAGGAATGTGACAAGAATCAGAGGAGCAGGAGGTTGCGGTCCAAAGTGCACTGAATTTCTTTACAATATAAGAGAAAATAAAGACCCATACTAGAGGATTTGAGATGTGAATGCGCCTCAAGACTAGAAAACTGGAACATAAAAACATCTATGCATGGGTCCTTTTTGTTGATTATTGTTCGGCTTTTGACACTATCTAGCCCTACAAACTCCTCCAACTGGGACTAAACTTCACCCTGTGCACTGGATTGTGGACTTTGGAGTGTTAATGGACGATAAAACCTCCTCCACCCTTGTCATCAACACCGGGGCCCCGGGGTTTGTGCTGTGCCTCTGTTTAACATCAAACTATGCAATGTTGTTGATACTCTAACCTCCTTGTGAGAAACAAAAGCTTGATTTTTTCATTGAAATCTAAGGTAAAAAGATTGTATCCACACGCTTGTTAAATGTATTGTGATTATTCATGATTAATTAATGTCCTTGTATGATGTTAATGTTTTCATTCTTGCTACTTTGAGTTGCCTTTGCTGTGAAGAAGAAGAACTGTGCTATACAAATAATACGACTTATATTACAACTTCTGCAGAAAGACAGAATGTTAATAATGTTAAGTTTTGTTATAATAAACAAATACAGTCCATATGTACACTATGTTGTCATTTATCTTTCCATTCAAACGACCATTTACACAAAAATATGGCATCATTTTGCCGATAGTTTGAAATGCAATTTATTACGATTGATTAATTTTTAAGCTGTAATTAACTCGATTGAACATTTTAATAGTTTGAAAGCCCTAGAATAAACTCATGCAGTCATATATGTCATGGCAGAGCTGACACATGGTCCAGCAAGACTTTCAAACACGCCTGAGCTTCAGAGGTGAGTAAACTTTCCTTCAGAGAGACGCTTAACACTTTGATGTAAACTATTTCACAAAGCTGACACAGTCAGTGTCAGACCACTCTGCCAACTGTGAAAGTCAGAGTAAAATCAGGATAATCCTCCAGCAGACATGATCTCAGAGTAATGTGAACATCTATATCTATGAACTCTTTTTCTGTAAAATATGAATTTGAACGAAAGATCGATCTTTAATAATTGAGTTTAACAAATACATAATGTCCTGTATAAACATAATTATATATTCTGGCACTCTTGACCTTTGGTATTATGCTGTTAGATGAGCCACTATGTCAAAGGTGTATGTATTTTGTGCTTGTGTAATAAAGAAATTACAATCCAATCCTTATTTGCTAGTTCAGGCTTGAGTCCTTAGTTGCCCTGATGAACACAATTATCAAAGGCATTGGTGTTAAAAAAACGTTAAAATTCTGCAATTAGACGTCAAACTGAAATTGAATTAAAATCTTACATACAGTCCCTTTTAGATAAGTTTCACAGAATGTAAAAAAAAATCAAATGTACAAGTTTTGCAGACAATGTTGGAACAATTACACGCATACCACATACTAAACATAGCACATAAATAAAACACACAACATTTAAAGCGCTTCTCTTCAGTCATTTCCAACCTGTTCGACGTTCACATCTGGTCAATAATGATCATGCAGAAAATATTGAGAGACATGGGTCGCAGCGCTTCAACTCATGTTTAATTTTCACTTGCATCACATGTTTAAAGGACATTTTACTGTCATCATTAAAGATGACCACTTGAGAAAAGCCAACACCATCAGGAGGACCCAACTTTATGTACAGGAAGAAAATGGCTTTAATCATCTGACACGGACACTTATAATGAGAAATAACCACGACCTGTTTTCTTCTTCATGTCCAGCTGATTGTTTTGTTGTGTACCATAAAGATGTTCCATTCATAAATCATCTATAGTTTCACTCTTCACCTATTGGTCACATTTAGAATACTCTTTTCGTACCGCTGGTTATGTCTTGATTAATTTGAATCTTGGGCAAATAATAAAATAACCAGAATAAGTTTCTTATAAGGGACCAACTGATTTGCCCATCAGACTTTTTATCTTCTGAGACATTGAAATCAGACTTCACAAATATTTGATTGATATAATTGGAAGTTACTGCATGTCACCAACCAATTTTGACAAACATAATCTCTGCCGATAAAGACATGTTAAAGCTCACAATCTACACACTCCATTCCTCTGTTATGGATGTCTGTAAAAAGTCTGCAAGTTCACAATGCCAATGTCAAAAACAATTGGCAGAGAAGAATCCCAAAAATTGGTTTCTGCTTTGTTTCCTAAATGATCAAAATCAATTGGCTCCAAGTTTCTATTTTCTAAACTGACAACAATTGCTGCAGTTGAATGCCCGTGAGCCCTGTATTTTGTAAACTGGAACTGTTTGTTATGGCTAAGCAAGAAAATAGGACCAGATCGTCTTTGCTACTTTATGTCTATGTACAAGACTTACAGAGACCAGGACCTTTTCACATGCTACTTCTATCCACAAATGCACTTATGAGAGTTGAAGACACCTTGGATCATCTCATCATGTTTTGTTCATTTAAAAACAATATTGTGAGGTGGATAGTCTACATTGAGCTACTCATGGATCAAATGCACTCGCATTTGAAACGAGCCCCATAGATAAACATACAGGACCTGTGTGAATGACAGGACCCAGTATGGAGACTAGTGAAGTGGCATTTGACCCTGTCTACTGATGCTACTATGAATCCTCTCAGAGCCAACGGAAGTCCAGGCTTGAATCCTTCATGCTTCTAATTTCCCATAAGGGTTTAGCAGCGATCGTCCTCATCTGTGTCACTGAGCTCAGTCGCACCTGTTGGTCCAGCCTGTCCCAAGTGCTTCCTGAAATGACCGTTTGGGATTTGCCATGAGTGTCTGAGCTGTGGAGCAGAGCTGATAGCATTGGCCCGGCCCAGGCTGCTAGCTACTGCAGTCTCAAAGGTGAGTGTGCCCTCTGCTGCCTCACCCTTGCTGAGGTCGTGGTAAAGGGGGAGATGTGGCTCAGAGATGTAGCGGTGAGGGGAGGGATGACTTGGGCCTGAAAGTGAAGTATGATCTCCACATGGCCCAAGTGAGGTCAACTCTTTCTGTGCCGGGGTGTCTGTAGGGGCGTCCTGAGGCTGGCTGGGTCCCTCACATGGGGGTACAGGTGCAGGGGGTGCTGTGGGCCTGCATACCAGAGGGGAGTAGTTTATGTAAGGCCGAGGGCGAGATGGAGTTTGTGGAAGCTGTCGTCGATTTCGAGGAGTAGAGGACTCTGAGGCAGAGAGGGCAGGACAGCCAGAATGTACCTAAACACCACACAAGTTAGCCCAAAAAGCAACTTTGTCATTAAAGCAGGTGACATTGTCCACATACCTGCGTCTGAGTAGCACTGGAACTGCCCTCACTTGGTGAACGTGATGGTGGACCTTCACTTGATGGGTCCCGGCTATTTCCCTCTTCAGAATTGCATCGAGAAACATCAGGGGACAGTAAGTGTCGCCTCTCCCTAGAGCGACCCCTCTCGTTACTCATGACTTCTTTGTGGTTGCTTCTAGGGCCTACGCACAGTAAGGACAAAGATAAGTGAACACATTAATGAGAAGACCAGTTATATTTTGTCTTGCAGACCTCTGTAACTTCTTTGGCGTGGCTTGTAAGTGCTGTCAGGACTAACTCTCTCCAACGAATGTTGTTCTTGCCACAAACCATTCACACACTCATCACCAATGGTGGAAAAGGAACGCTTCAGCAGCTTACCATCCGCAGACTAGAGCCAAAAACATATTCAGAATATACGTGAAATCGACACATGTCATCATGGTCGTACCTGCGCATCAACAGCCAGTCTTGGCATGGAAGATGCTCTGATCGAGGATGTGCGCTGAGGGCATTTCAGACAAGCTGGCTCCTGTTTGGCCTGTTGTATTGCATTGTTGTATTCTACAGCATCAGGAGCCTAAATCCAACAGAAACAAACAATTAAATAAAAAGGAAACAGTGTTTTACTATCAAAACCACAGCTCTAGTGGCAGATGTGTGTATTTACCAGTGTGTGCAAATGATGATAGTGCAGCTGTGGATATGGGTGATAAGGGGAATGGTACTCATCCTCTTTCTTCAGCTCTCTGGAACAGGACAGTGGCTGAAGGAACATTTCTTGTGGAGAAACCGGACTGAGGGCTACGAAACCTCCTCTGGTACTGAAGGAAAATAAATCGATACAATAATACTGCAAAATAGTGCACTCTCGATTTAACAATGTCAGTGTGTTTTAGATAAAACTCATGTTTACAGAGCAGATCCTGCGCTGTGATGCATGAAGGACAGGGACTTGGCGTTGCATAGGATTTCTTGAGGCAGAGAGGAGGCATCCATGCGCTGGAACATTGGAGCATGTTTCTAAAGGGTATAATCAGTAAACACAACAGGTATCAGTCACAGGAAAGGCACTTTCAGATGGCATCCATTCATAAAAAACAAATTAACCTGCTCCTCCAGCTGCTGGCGAAGCTTCTTGGCTTTGTTTTGCTTGTAGAAGTCCATAATCATCATAGCAGCATAGATCTTTCCGATTGTCATGTCACTGGCTGGAATATGTAGGTATTGTTCTCACAGGTTTTATCGCATTAATAAAAATACAAACAAAAACTTTGTTGCCACTGTCCTGCCTCTATGTTTAGCACACACATACAGTGGGACAAGAAAGTATTTAGTCAGCCACCAATTGTGCAAGTTCTCCCACTTATGTCTATGAGGGAGGCTTGTAATTTTCATCAATACCTCAACTATGAGAGACAGAATGAGAAAAATAAAAGTCTGATTTTGAAAGATTTTTTTGCAAATTATGGTGGAAATAAATATTTGGTCAATAACAGAAGTTCCTCTCAATACTTTGTAACATACCATTTGTTGGCAATAACAGAGCTCAAACTTTTTCTGTAAGTCTTCACAAGGTTTTCACACACTGTTGCAAGTATTTTTGCCCATTCCTCCATTCACATCTCCTCTGGAGCAGTGATGTTTTGAGGCTGTCGCTGGGCAACACAGACTTTCAACTCCCTTCAAAGATTTTCTATTGGGTTGAGATCTGGAGACTGGCTTCATCCCCACCGTTATCAGACTGTACAATAAGTCACTTTAAGTCACTTAAACTAGGACTAAATACCTACTATTGCCACTGTTTCTTTAATTGCCATATATTTTTTGCCTTTAACATGTTTGCACACTTCTGAGTGTTTCTATCCATGCCAAATGTGACATGTACATTTCTCCTGAGATCAAAGTATATCTTATCTTATCTCATCTGGCTAGGCTACAGCAGGACCTTGAAATGCTTCTTACAAAGCCACTCCTTTGTTTTCTAGGCGGTGTGTTTGGGTTTTCATTCAAAATATCTGGATACCCCAATTATTCTTTCCTTTACACAGATCAGTCGTCCTACTCCCTCTGCAGAAAAACCGCCCCAAAGCATGATGTTTCCACCCCCATGCTTCACAGTAGGTATGGTGTTGTTTGGATGCAACTCTGCATTCATTCTCCTCCAAACACGGTGAGTTGAGTTTTTACCAAAAAGTTCTATCTTGGTTTCATCTGACCATGTGACATTCTCCCAATCCTCTTCTGGTTCATCCAAATGCTCTCTAGCAAACTTCAGACAGGCCTGGACATGCACTGGCTTCAGCAGGGGGACACGTCTGGCACTGCAGGATTTGAGTCCCTGACGGCGTTGTGTGTTATTGATTCTAGCCTTTGTTACTTTGGTCCCAGCTCTCTGCAGGTCACTCACTGTTCTTGTGATCATTTTGAGATCTTTGGTCTTAGCCATAGTGGAGTTTGAAGTGACTGTTGGAGGTTGTGGACAGGTGTCTTTCATATTGAAAATGAGTTCAAACAGGTGCCATTGATACAAGTAACAGGTGGAGGACAGAGGAGCTTCTTGAAGAAGGAGTCACAGGTCTGTGAGAGCCACAAATCTTGCTTGTTTGTAGGTGACCGAATACTTATTTTCCACCATAATTTGCAAATAAATAAAATAATCTCATTTTCAGAAGCTCGTTTTTTCTCATTCTGTCTCTCATAGTTGATACTGTACCTATGATGAAAATTATATGCCTCCCTCATCTTTTTAAGTGGGAGAACTTTTTTGCCCCATAAGATAAGATAAGAGATAAGATAGATCTCTCACAGGAGAAATGTACATGTCACATCTGGCATGGTTAGAATCACTCAAGAAGAAAAAAAAATGTGCTCCTCCAGTTCTGATAACCAATTTACAACAGAGGCTGGGGTTTAGACAGTGCAAGATGGCGACCAATGCTGCTTGAGTTGAAAATCAAATGTTGATATAGATAATGTGATGATTATGTTTTTTTTTTTTTAAAGGAATAGGCCACCGTTTTTACATACTGACGTTTGCATATCAACTAGTCTAAGGTAAGGTAAGAACATATGTCAGTATGTAAAAACGGTGGCCTATTCCTTTAACAAGACTAAATATACATTCACATTTAAATTAAAACATATAATTTGCACACATTAACCTTGCATCTGCAGCCACACATATCAAAAGGTATGTGTTGAAAATGAAACTTACAGACTTCCTTTCATGTCTTTCTAAAGATTAAAACAAAAAGTTACCTTTATGAATGGGCACAAGAACGTCAATTGTTTTTGGAGATAAATGAGGCCAGATGACACCGATCTCTTTCTGGAGGTCCAGGTCCATTTGGTTTCGGTCCTCACCTCCTGCAAATTCCACATACATTTTCACAAATCAGATTTTTTTTCCAGATAAAAATACATCTCTTTGATGTTCCTCACCTCTGGCTATCTTAATCTCCAGTGCAGTGCGGATCAGAGCCATGAGTGTGGATGTGAAGTGAACAGTCATGTCCTCATCCACAGGCATGTTCATCAGGACTAATCTCTGCATCAACAACAAAACAGTCTTTCAACATGAGCACATCTGGAGTCTCATTGAAGACATAGTATATGCATTTATAAATATAATACAGTGTCTGGTCCAAATGAGAGTAAACACTCACACAGCCCAGCGGAGAGAGAATGGCAATCACATGTGTTGGAGCAAGCTTGCAGGCTGACAAACTCACAACAAAATGGGAATAAAATGTGGAGGTGCATGCAACACAGAGTGACAGTTTTTAGCTTATAGATGGTCTATTAGTAATGTTAAAGAGGTATGCCATGCATTATTTTCTGATGGGAACTGCAACTGCTTATTTCTATATGCAGTTAGTGCTTAGCTTGGATTGTACCTCACTATGGCATAATAATTTAATCTTAAATAGCTTGCCTCACTGCAAATTAGACCTATAACTTGTTATGTCACTTGCTTGTATCCAATATCAATGGCCCTGTTTAGTAAATGCCATGTGACATCAGAGGAAAAAAACAATGAATTACATGGATCAAGTGAGTGGCAGACCCAGCAGAAAAGTATTTTTTTTTGCAAAACTTTCTGGAAGTGACGCCCTTTTTGTGCCACAGAATAAAAAGCAAAACAAGGCAAACCAGTGTTTAAGCGCTTGTAAAGTATTAAAACATAGTCTATTTATACCAGAATGAGGCCCTACAGTGAGCTCCTTTCAACTGCAATGTGTGAGCCACTCATCCTCTACCTTATATGCCACTTTGGAGGGGCATTTCTTGCCCAGGCCTAGAGGAGGCGACATGTTGGTCAACATCTCATACATGTCAGTGTAATGAATTCGGCCACTGGGGGAGCCACCGAGCCATGAAGGTGACATGGAGAAGAGCAGGGGGAAGTGGGGTGGCAGTGGCAGGGGGCAAACAGGACCAGGAGGTAAAAACAGGAAGAGAGTTATTTATTTCAGACAAAGGAGAGACAAAGGTTAAAACGGGCACCGGACTTTCTATGCTTTGGACTCAGCATAGAAATCCAAAAAAAAAAACATATTTGACAATAAGGGCAAAGAATTGAGAGACTCTCTGTATACATGAAAAAGTCTATCTTTGTATAATCTGACAATTTGAAAGATTCAATTTTAACAAATGATATAAAAAAAAAAGAAGTAAATATCCAAAAGTAAAAAGTTAAGATCCAAATACATTCATGTGACATGTTTCATTATTGTATTACTGTATGTATGCAGCGTGTATGCATACAGTATATGTATAAAAGTGAGTCTTCATTCTTTGAAGGCCTGGTCTGACTACAGACCCCGGGGACTAAACAGGGCACTGCATGAAGCCAAAGACAAGGGCACAATCAGGAAGGATCCCACATGAATAGATAGGGAAGAGGGCTTTTGGTTGCATTTGGGATAACCAAACCTTGCATGCCACCCTGTGGGGGCAGTTCTTTCCAAAGCCCAGAGGAGGTGAGATAGTGCGTACAACTTTGTACATCTCCTTATAGTGGATCCTTCCACTGGAAAGAACATATATGGTTTTAGTTTTCTGAACTTCCATACACTACAATATCATTATAGTGTATGATGAGTGTGAGATGTAATTCATTCTCTGTTCACCCCTTTAAACTATTGTACCTCTGACGTAACCGCTTAAATGTCTCAACCATATACATAGTTGAGAAAATATAGTGGATTTATGTTTCATAAATTGGACATACAGGTTTAATGAAATGTCCAAGACATAAAATATCACTAACCAGGCAGCACGGTCATACTCTCCCCATATACGAACAAACTCGTCCAGATGGTGAGGACCCAGGATGGACGAGTCTCTTGTGAGGTACTCAAAGTTATCCATGATCACTGCCACAAACAGGTTCAACATCTGTATAAAATATTACATTTGACTCAATATACAATATATATGGTATGGGGTATTAAAACTAGCAGGGGGTTTGTGTTTTGTAGAAGTTTTCATACCAAGAAGGAGCTAAAGAATATGAAAGAGACAAAATAGAAATATGCAAAGTCGGAGCCACAGCCTCGATGCAAGTGGGATGCTTTGGGCAGAGAGGGGTCCATCTCACACTGCTGACCCGAGAGGCACGACAGCATGATCTCCTGCCAGGACTCCCCTGTAGCACTCCTTTACAAACAAAGTAACCGTTTCATTTCATGCACACAAAGAAATGCTGCTTTAACACAAAATAAGTCGGACTGAATCATAAAAAGCCTTCTCACCTAAACAGCAGCATCAGGGCACTGGAGAAAGTATGAAAATTGTTGTGCCGGTTGATATGGGTCTTTTCATTTAGCTTTATGTTCCCAAATACCTGATCATAACACACAAAACACTTTTTTTACAAAGAAACATTGAAGTGCAAGGGCCCCCCAGGGGTTTTACTCACCTGCATCCCAATTATAGCATAGATGAAGAAGAGCATGGCTATGAGAAGACAGACATAAGGCAGAGCCTTGAAGGACTGCACAAAGGTCCAGAGCAGAATACGGATGGTGTAACCCTGTCTCAGCAGTTTAATGAGACGAGCTGCACGAAACAGCTTTAAGAAACTCATGTTGAGTGAGTCCTCAAACTGCGGAATTTACAAAGATAGTAATTAGTAATAAAGCTTGTTTAGATGCTTTTCCACAAAAGACATCCAAACATAGACACCTTGAGAAATACTTCATATGCACATTTTATCGACCATAAAAATGAAAATAAGATATTGGTATTTTTTGTGAAAGACCAACACAATAGTTGGCCATAGTTTCTGGATTAGTACCATTGGCCCCTTGACTCTGTCCTTGTTTGGCATGTTAGTCTTGGTAAACAGCCGTAGGTTTGCATTTGCGATCAATATCTAGTCTAGTGCAAAAAGTGTTCGTGAAAAGTGAAAAATGCACCATAGAGAGAAGGTCTGCACAACTATTGAGCTCCAAAGAGTTGTTTATTCACAAATGACAAAGGGCTAATGGGCCTTTATCAGACAAGCAGTTGCATTTGTGTCATACTCCACTTTCCATTCCCAGGTGAAGGATTCAGCAGTTCTCTGAGATGTTCAAAACATAATTTTTAATTAAATGATTTTAATTAGGGCAACAAAGCTGGATAAGATCCATCTTGTGAAAGGCCCTTCTTTGAGTCAGAGCAACAGACCTCAGCCTATGAAGTAATGTACACTGACAGTACAAAACCATCTGTTTGCATTGCTGTGATGTTCAAATATCCGTTTAAAGTAAGATAAACCAGGCATATATATTGGTCAATATAGGAAGGATTTTATTTATTTACCTGAAAGTCAATGATGATCTCTGCGATGCTGCCCAGGACGGTAATAAAGTCAAAGATGTTCCAAGTATCTTTAAAGTAGTTCTGTTGAAACACCGGCCACAAGTTTTGACATTATAAAAGTCAAACACTGTATTTGGAAAGATCTTTGTCCCTCTCACCAGAAAACCAAATGCCAAGATCTTGAGTATGCACTCCACAGAGAAGAGCACAGTGAAGGCAGTGTTCAGGTGCTTCAGAACAGCCTCATAGGCCGGTGGGGCAGAGTAATACTGCAGAGGAAAGAACTGATTACATTTAACACTGTCTGTGACAAAGTTAAAAGAGAAATGACTTCTACAAATGAATAATGATCACAAATACACCTCAAATTCCATGATGGATACAACAAGAGGCACAAGCTGAAGGTATGGCATTGTTTTCACTGTTGCATAAATATGATTGAAAATCATACTCAAAGATTCAATTCAAATGTTGTACTCAAAAGAGCAGAACATGCAAGACAGCCCAGAACTGGAATAGAAGAATGGGCAACATTGCTTTGAACTAGATTTGAGTCTAAGCAAGAATTTACTTTTAATCTAAAGGTATTGAATCTTCGATGGCGTTTTTTTATTTTTATTATTGTTATTGGCATGTCTCATCTGCAACTTCATTGTATGTTTCCCATGTTTAACAATTTACATTCATAGAAATCCAAACTCACACATGCCACTTAATCTCAAAGTAAATATCTACTACAAACAACATGGTTCAGAATAGACAAAAGGACCTTTTAAAGCAGATATATGGGCTATATTCTGCTTTTAAAATAATTACACTATTTACTTTAATGCATTATTTTATGCTTTACAATGTGAAATAATATCTTAAGTAAAAAATCAAAGGTGAATGAAGAATGATGGGTAAAACATGTTTTTCCGCCTGCAACTTCCTATAAAGACACCAGTGGGAGGAGTTGAATGTTTTTTTTTCAGTCACTAATTTAAAGGTACAGTATACGGGCGTATTTTCTTCTTCTAGGCTGTCAATCATCCGGGTGATTTACAAGACATGTTTTAATAGGCATTCCTTCTGAGGATGGTGGTTCTTTCCCACAATTTGGTAAAATCCTCCTATATACCTTTTAAGGGCAAATTTTTGTTAAGAGTCAGAAAAGTTCTCCTAATGAAACCCTACAATTACAGGATGGACCTAAATACAGCTCCAGCTCTGTTTTGAAAAAGAAACAGTGTTGAAACATGGTTAAGAGTTTTTAAAAAGTTGATTTTGCATAACACGTCTCCTTTAAAGTGAAGACATCGGCCTTTCCTGTCTGCCCTCTTGAAGATCCAGTTTTGTGAAAAGTCTGCAGCTTGATGGAAGATTCCTCCAGACCCATAAATAGCCCCTCAGTCTGCACACCTTTCATCTGTGGCACTATAAACGGAGCCATCCCTCTGGGGGCGGCAGCTGCAGTTAATGAGGTCATGCTAAATAGCAGCCCCTGGACTTTACAGATCAATATTTAATACAGGCTGAGTCACTACGCCGGTGTGAAGGTCTGACGAACTGATCAAGTGGGTGAGAAAAGGCCAAAGGAAACTGACGAGAGAAAGGTGGAAAAATGTCGGCTCAAAGAGAAAACAGAGAAAGCAAACATTGACTCCAGACGTCATTGTTGGGAATGAATTTGCTCAGCTATTTTAAAACCACGGTGTTAACGCGCAAGACCGTGAGAGGATGTCATGGTGCTTCTGTGCGATGAAAGAGAAAACATACGCCAAAGAAAGTACATTCATAGTTTACCTTCATCATAAGGACAATGGTGTTGAGGGCGATCATAGCCAGCACTGTGTACTCAAAAGATGGCGACACCACAAAATGCCACAGTCTGTACTGGAACGAGTGGCGATTCTGGGGCATGTAACGGGTCAGGGGTTTTGCACTGATGGCAAAGTCAATACAAGCTCTCTGGAGAGATTATAACAGGGACAGCAGTCAGAAACTTCGCCTAACCTCTCCTACATATCTATCCATGTCTCAGTTTTACCTCGTTTTTTTCTAGGGTGCACTCCTCCATCATCTTGTCGCCTTGCTCTTGAAAGGTGATGATGATGAGAGCTACAAATATGTTGACAAAGAAGAACGGAAAGACCACAAAGTAGATGACGTAGAAGAGGGACATTTCCATTCTGTTGCTGTGACTTGGACCCTTGTCTTCCTCTGTCACATCCACTGAGTGTTGCAGCACCCTGGGGAAGCAGATACAGTATCTACACGTAACAGAATTATTTAATCATGCAGTGTTTTCTATTGTACATCCAAGTTTTGGATAAACTAAATTATTGTGTAGGAAGTGGCAGAAAAAGTTTGTTTTGACTAGAAATTGTATCTGTCTTTTGAAATAAGTAAATCCTCTTTACAGTATTTATTGTTTATTTAAGTTATTGAACACATCTAGTATGACAGAGTGTTATTTGATAGTTTAGGAAGATTAATTTTGTCTTCTGAGTAGAAATAAAAGTATATTATTCTTCTATACCAGACAATAGTAGGTTAGAAGTTATTTGATTTTTTAGAGTTATTCAAATAAGGTACACTTGTTCCTATTTAAATGTTTTTTTTCTTTTCTACTTCTGTATGATCTTATACTATGATTTAATTTTAGATATTTAGATGAAGTCGAGCAAAAAAACGGACCCTCTAAAAATCATAGAATGTGACCAGCGACCAGTTTTAAAGGTCCACCGTGGTGAAGAATGGTACAATAGAATGATATTATAGAATTAAAAATGATATTGTGACATTCCCTAATAACATGCATATTCTAATCCTGTTGCTTTACTCGTCACATATCACATCAAGATCAAAATCAGTTGCTGAGAGACTCACTGAGGCCATCCCTCTCCTGTAGACACCGTGAAAAGAGTGAGCAGAGCCGAGATGACGTTGTCGTAGTGAAAGTCATGTCGTCTCCAGTCTCGCTCCTTCACCTCCTTCTTATCTCTGCCGTAGTCGATGTAGTAACCCCTAATGATAAAACACACGCAAAGATAGCCTGGTCGTACCACACCATAGTACAAATTACATTTCGTACCAAGGTCTGGAGGTGCTCGATTGAGCTCTTTTACAGGTGGGAGGGGCTAACTCCTTTTGCAAATTGAAACGATTGTATCTGAGTTTGCGCCCGAGTGAGTCAATAGCATTTAGCCTAGCCATCTCCTTTGCCGCTAACGGAGCCCATGGGGAGTAGCGCCACTTTGGCAGAAATTACATTTGCTAAACGTTCCTCTTGCTCCGGCTTCAATTTCTTGATAGAACAGAACGGATTATTTTACTACCGCATTCTTCGCCATTGCCAAACTACGACCTGCCAATTCGGCGCAAACTCTTGACGTCACCCACATCTAAATACAACACCCGCCTCCCTCGCTCGCTGATTGGTCGATGGAATCCAACTGATTGTAATCGCAAACACAAGGACCAGACCATAGACTGTATATATTAACCCTTTAGGCGCCAGAGTTTTTTCAAGAAAATATACAATTTTGATTTCAAGATTTCAAAAGGCTATAACTTTAAAATGGTTTGAGATAAAGGCATATTGTAAATTAGAAATATCTTCAGTTTGAACCAAACTTTGGGATGGAAGTTGATTCGTCATCTAATTTGCATATTGTGACGTCATCAAGGTGGCGGCCATTTTGGAAAATGTTAATTATTGTATAAAGACTTCAAAAAGCTGTAGCTTGGGAGTTATTTGAGATCAGGGAATACTATAAACAGTCAATGTGAAATATCTTTAGTATAAAATGAATTTGGGATAGAAATAAATTCCCTGATCCAGATTATAGATAATGTTTTAGCACTGGGTCGCGGCCATACGGAATTGTATTATTTTCAAAGACCTTCAGTGATCAAGACAGCACTCTTTATAGTTTACAGTCATGAAATCTTGAGATTGGTTTCAATATTTCCCTTTCAAAGAAGTGGTGAGCTGACTATTTTTCTCAGTGGAAATGAGGCTCAAGGATTTACCGTTTAGAAACAGAGAGATGAAATGAATGGGCACAGAACATGTCAGATCGTCTCAACAACATACAACAGGCTCTTCAACACTTCTAATCCACTTTTGTGGATTTATTTTTATTTTATTTTCTCTCAAGAACTGCCTTCATCCTCATCATCACTGTTGGTAAAGGCAGTAAACGCGATTAGCGATGTGTTTTTTTCCCCGCGGCTCTCCCGCGACTTCTCCCGCGTTTCCCGTGTTCCCCGTGGATGTCTACCCCCGCTACTTTCTCCCACATGCCCGGTGTTATGATCCCCCTGTCCCCTCCACCACGGCCCCTGCTTGGCGTTCACAGAATGCTTCTACCGCGGCCACACGGAGGACAAGCAGCCGCTGTACTGGGGCTGATTGTGGACTATGGAGCGCGGTCTCCCCGTCACCAATAATGTCCGTGTCTGCTTCACTGGACACCTGCGTGTCTTCCTCCTCTGAATCTGAGTGAGCCAGTACCAGACCAAGTACTTCTCTGGTACTGAAGACCTCGTGAGTAAAATAATAAACCCTCTCTCCCTCTGCTCTGCTCTCGCTCCTCTCAGCTCTACCGCTGCTGCTTCGCCTCCGCACCGCTGCGCCGCAGGTGTTTTACAAACTCAATTTACTCAAAAACTTTCAATATAACCACACCCACAAATGCTGCTCATATTACAGGCACACATGTCCACTAACCCCTGGTGAAAAGTATTAACAAGATTCTGTACCACATTTTTACATACAGCCTGTTAAAGTGAGCAATGTTGCTTGTCGCAATATTGCGACTTTGGCGCTTAAAGGGTTAACAGACAGAGTCACGCCTATCTCCGCCGTTCAGACAAATGGGCCAGAAAATGTGCTCTTCTGGAGCTACCCAAAATGGCCGCGAGTGGTCCCGCCCACAAAAAAGTTGTGAAAAAACGCATCTGCGGATGCGTCAGCCGCCGCAGCTCCATTCATTTGAACGAGTGACTTCAAAAATTCACAGCAAGTAAACTAGTGGTCAGCTAATGTTATATGTTAGCATTGGCTAATTCTTATTCCGGGTCCACCCCCGTCATTTTGGCCACTTTTGAGCCTGGGACTCGCCCACACTGGACCAGACCCAGACGTTACACGCAGGGAAATGATGATTGAGCGGAGTGTACGGATGGCTAAGGCCAGGCTAATGCAAAGACTGACTTGATACCAAACATAACACCAACACAATAAGACTTACTGGCAGTCCTTCTCTGTGGCCTTGGAACTGTCGGTGCAATAAAAAAACTTTCCTTTGAAAAGCTGCACCGCGATCACAGCAAAGATGAACATGAAAAGTTTATAGACAATTAAGATGTTGAAGACGTTTTTGAGAGACGTCACCACACAGTCAAAGACGGCCTGTGGAACAACAACGTGGGGAATAAATATTTATATATATATACTTATACAAAACATGACTGTCATATGAGAAAAGCAGCTGACCTTGAGTTTGGGCAGTCTCTTGATGGTCTTCAGTGGTCTAAGTACTCGCAGAACTCTCAAGGATTTGATGGTTTTAATGTCACGGCCTTTATTATTTCTATTAACACAACATATTAGTGACAGAGTGTCAGAAAAGACAAACGCGTGAAATATCTGGACATATATCTATATATATATGCTTATTTTGGTTTACAATGGAGTTTTGAAGTGGTGGAGAGGAGTTTGTAGTTTGCTGAAGTAAAAATATTTCTTAGTAAAGATTGAATACCAGAAATGTAGAGAACATTTAACATTTGAATGGCTGAAACCACAGCGTTGTTGAAAGTTGTTACCCGAAAGTGTTTTTGTGTGTTCAAACTTTTGGTATTTATCATTTTAGACATTTTCTATGAGGAATTTAGAATTTTACTTCCGGAAACAAAAACTTCGCATCTCTGAAATAAATCATAGCATGTATGTGGGGAAAAAAACATGACATTTACCCCATCACATTTCTTCAAGGCAGAAATAGGAAAAGGAAATAGCAGAAGAAACAATTGAGAATTAGAGAGAAAAGGGAATATTTAGAAAAATGATGCAGTGAAAAGAGTATCTTATAGACGTACGTAAGTGCAAAAGCCACGAGAGCTCCAAAGACAACAATAAAGTCCAGAATGTTCCACAGGTCTCTGAAGTAGGAGCCGTCGTGGAGAATCAGGCCCTGGTCGATCATCTGAGTGACACAGAATCATCAGCTCATTCCACAAACTGAACAGAGAGGGTCACAGGACTTACCTTGATTATCATCTCAAATGTAAAAACACCAGTGAACACATAATCGAAATAGCGCAAAACCTGTGAAGTACAAAAATAAAGTCAGTCCTATTTAGTAAACAAAACAAAGTTGGTTTTAGTAATAAGGACAGCTACAGAATAACACTATCCCATAATATATATATTTGTATTCCTATTATACACTTCTATTGAACCAAAACACTTGAAAGGTTTACTACGGCAAACACACCTTATTCCAGTCTGATGTTGTGGCGATGGGGTCCTCAGCAGCAAGAGCAATGCTGCTGGCAGCGATGACCAACAAGATGGTCAGCTCAAAATACCTGAAGTTCACTACATAGTGACAGGCTCGCCGCACACTGAGAACAAACAACAGAAATGATTATTTATTTAAAAAATACAGTTTGACAACACTGCACAGGACGTACTCTTGTAATATTCCTATTCACTCAACAAGATTTAAAGAGACACCATACATTTTATATTTATGGACATTTATCTAAATCCTCATCTGCTCCTTATGGACCAATGGAACAAAACGTGTTTTTAATTATTGCATTTATTGTGTTTGAACTGTTTGGTTCACTGATCTGTGTTGGCAAAATTCACCGGTTTTGTAAAGTCCGTCGAGATACCATGAGATTTTGGGACCATGGCTCTATCTCCAGGAATAAACAACAGGCCACATATTTATGAAGGTAGAGCTGAATAAATGCAAGCCAGATGAATCCTCTGATGTGAAAGGTCAGGTGTGTTTGTAACCCTGCACTACAGTTTTAGTTCTATTCTATTCTAATATGTCATGTTTTGAGTTATTCAATGTTATCATTTTATTATCTAACTACTAAAAAGTATTCAATAAAAGGAACATTCTTGACAGATGACAGATTCTTGATTTGTAAGGTTCTTAGTTTATAGCACATATAATTTCAACAAATAGACTATAGTATTTACAGACTCTATGAAACAAGTCAAAATCCAGCTCTGAAAATAGAAAGTATTTGTCATGGTTTACGTTTATTTTCTGTTTTGTTTTGCAATTTGTAAACCCGTGTGTCTTCTTCATGTGGGACCCATGATAATTGACATGTATAACAATAACGCTGTAATAACACCCACCTCCTAATTTGTTGTTTAATTTTCATCGGACTGATTGTCGTAGCGTGTGTGTTCGACCGGCTCATGATGCAGTAAAAGCTAGGCTTGTTTTTAATGAACCGAAAATTTGATGAACAAAATTTGACCTCATTACTAGTATTTTTGATGTGTGTTTTGAAACAAAGGTTTGAGTCGATGAGCAATCCCAGATATTTGTATTCCTAACATTTACATTTTATTAAAGCCATTATTTTTGCAGTTCTGCTCTTTGGGTTACTTTCCTTCCACCACACGACAGTTATGTTGTGTTACTTGTGTGACTTACGAGTTCTCTGGTTTAAAGATGAACATGCTGTTTGGGACGACGGCTGGCTTTGTGTCGTCACTGCCGGTGTCGCAGGCTTCAGGATCCTTGTTTTTAACTGCACACATTTGGATACGATGAAACCTTAAAGGGAGCTTATGAGTTGAGCAGAGAAGAGAAGATAGCCGGGCAAATCTCAGGACGTTTTGGCTCCCAATGAGTACAAAGTGGTGATAAAGGGAAGCACTGCACTCAAGAAGAGGCAACAGAAAGGCACGACTGACTGCCCCCAAACCAGAAGTAACAGATAAGAAATGAAGCATGGCTCTGCAAGCGCAAGGACAATTTCTCATCACAAATTTCTACAGCAGCTCATTTAAATTATGAGTGAGAATAGCCCCTGCGCTGTTTTTTACCTTGAATAACTCAATCTGTTTACCACTAAAGCATTGAACAGCGTCAGTAGATAATGAATTCAATATTTCAGATAACAGTCAAGTGTTTACATGGTATAAATAATAGAAAGTCACAAAGATACGCCTTTGAAGAGATAAAGTAACTCCACTGAACTGACCGTTGTGAGGAGGATAAATAAAAGACATATGACATATATGATACTGTGCATATTTTCAATCAATCAATCAATCCATTCTTAAAAACCCTAATTGTAAGCCTTAAATTCCTAAACTCTGGCCTTGAACACCAAACTATGCAGTCAGAGTGAGTTGTTGTACCTGAAATTACGGAGAGCTCCATTGACATATGTTCTTTACAAACATTGACGGTCACACTGGAGCTGAGCTGGGGTTTCTCCAGGCACAAATCTGGGGATGAGAGTTCCTTCTGTTCAGGGTGGTCAGCTGCAGGTGGCTCACATTGGTCCAGTGGCTCCTCTGGTGGCGATTTGGTGTCGGTGCTGAAATCAGGCTGAACATCCTTCTGTCTGTGTATACAAACGCAGCAGGTTCCATTTTAACAAATTACTTTTTTTTGGATGTTAAGAAAATTTGTTTATTAATCAATATTTGGAACCACAACTGAACCAAATCCATTTCCTAGTTTGTGACTTCCTGATACTCACAAGGGCAGTAAAATCAATTCACTGAGATTTTAGAATCTCTTTGGGGAGTACTGGCCCTGGAGAAAGGTGGTGGAAGAGGGGTCGGGAAGGCTGTTACGGGGACGATTGTATATTCCCACATCCCACAGCGTCACTGCAGCTGATAAAATATTTTTGATCTTATATTTGAAAGAATTAAAACTCCTCATGTTGTGTCTCTCAAAGCCTGGGACAAGGCCATTCTCATAATTTACATCTGAATTACACATTTCAGATATGTATATATATTTATTATAGTTGGAGTTCCTATCTTTTTCTGGTGTCATAAATACATGTTGTTTGTCCCAACAGAAAGTAAGTAGTAGTAAGTAAGCTTTATTTATATACCACCTTTTCACTGCACATCGGAGTCTCAAAGCGGTTTACAATTGTTGGGTGGGGGTGCCAGTACAGGAGGCACATGCCAGACCTATTGTACATATTTTTAGTGGTAGGGGAAACCGGAGCACCCGGAGGAAACCTACGCAGACACGGGGAGAACATGCAAACTCCACTCAGAAAGGCCCTGGTCCAACCGGGATTCAAACCCAGGACCTTCTTGCTGAGAGGCGAGAGTGCTATCCACTCAGCCACCGTGCCGCCCAAAGAAAGAGTCTTGTTTAAGTGAAAAATCAGACTATTACTGCTGTTTTTATCTAATTAAAATTTTTTATTGTTTACATAAAGAGAGCTGATTGGCTGATTGGAGTGAGGGCTGCTCTTCTCTTTTAAGCTGATCTAAGGATGTGACAGAGCTAAAAGACACATGGATGTGAAAACCAGCAATAGAACAAAACAGAGCTAGGAACTAGTTACATGGATTTCTTAAGGGTTTTTTGTTTCAAAGTTTGGTACTGCAGTTATAAGATAAATATTTGTTTCCATTTTCTAACAACTGAAGTGGGGTAGGCTGATCTGGGGGGAAAAAAGTTTTGTCTGTGCTATTTTGCTATTTGTGCACGTGCACAACAGACACTGGACTCTGCCTGTCCCTGGCTCAGAGTATTATAAATGCATGTACCTGTCCTCGGGGCCGCCCACATCCTCCTCCTTCTTCTCCTCACTCCTCTCTCCAATCCCCACACTCTCATTGCTCTGCGGGCCCTTCTCTCTGTCCTCCATCAGCTGCTGGGGCAACCTCCTTCCCCTGAACTTCCCGTGGCCTCTCATCTCTGGAGTCAGTCCATCCAAATTATCTGGTGGTCGGAACTTTTTCACTGGCCTGTGTTGTCTGTCACCATTGAGCCTGTTTTTTCGTTCTTGGACAGTGCTGTTTGTGTGTCTCTCTGGTCCACCCTCGTACTCAGTCGGCTCAGGTAAACTGGTGGACACTTCAGGGACAGTCAGAGCATCTTGGTTGTCAGTGGACAGAGCAGCATCCACAGGAGTGACCTCAGGATTGTTCTTCAAGGGAGATGCTAGGGACTCGCTTGATCTTTTGATGCTTGGAGGAGTGTCTTGCATGACTTTCTTCTGGAGGGATTGTGGACGGCCATGCAGGCTCTGTGCAGAGCCGTCTCGTTCTTCCCCAGGATTACTGTAGAGGACTTCTCTGCTGGACATTTGCCGGTGCCTTCGAAGCTGACTGGTTCTCTGCTCCCACACAGACATGGTCATCCTCTTCCTGCGCTCTCTCCTGGACATGAAAGAGTTAGAGGGGTTGAGTCTGGGCAGGCCCTCCCTGATGCTGCCCTGGGCTTCCTCCAGGGAGCGTGAGTACGTAGGGCGGCCGCGGTGGATCGCTCTCTTTCTGTATAGGTAGGGCCGCCTTCTCCGGCTTCCCCTGAGGAGAGAGAGAAACACATGTCAGAACATCAATGATACTTTATTAGATTAAAAAAGCAAAAACATATGTTTTATCTCATTCTGATGGATCATCTTCAATCACTTTTGAATCTAATGAATTGAATAACAGTAACATAATTAGTTGCCTTTAGGTTTTTATTTTAGCAACCAACAAAAGATTCAAAATATTTACATACAGTAAATTATACTATGTGATCTATGGTTATGTGATGACTAAAGGAATAACTGTGAAACAAATTTGCAGAAAATACAACCAGTGAAGCAGGGACATAGAATGAATAAAGTTTAAGGTTGAGGAAAGAGATGAGCAGGAACTGGTTATTTCGCAAGATGAGAAGGAACCCGGGTAAAGAAAATTGAAGAAATGGTGAGAGACAGAGAGAGCTTAACACAGTTACTTACTGGAGCGTGGGCTCTTGTGTGGTCCATGTTATCAATGAGCGATTTGTTGAAAACAAGACATTAGTGCTTTTGGGAGCAGAGACACAACACATGGGAGACACACACCAACTGATCCTCCAACATCTCCACAAATGCCATTGCCATGACATGTCATGGCAACAACTTCCAGGGCTCTCTTACTTGTAATGTAAAATTTAAGAAAATAGATACTTTTTTTGTCATATATGTGTATTTGATGTGTGTCTCCTATGGACCAAGCACTTCGACAAACAAGATGGGAATAAGACACATTAAAACAACACTCATATACATTCAATCATCATATTAAAAACATGACTTTAAGAACAGTGTGACATAGTAAGAGGACAGAGATGAGAATAATATCAGCAACAAGCTTCATTATGAAGAGCACTTTGGATGCAGCGCGGAACACTACACCCCCAAGCAACATTAGGGTTCTTAAGATCATGCCAATGCAGAACAAGATGCTGAAGGAAATGATCGTTTGTTTGAAAATTTGGCGGAAGTCCACAGTGAAAAATATGATTTACTTCCTTTACGGACAGATAGTGATCTGAGACAAGAATTCTGATTTAAAATCATAGCATGCCATTGGCATCCTGCATTCTGTTTTAGTTAGAGACAATTCAAAAGTGTAGTTGTATAGAATCCCAGAAGCATAAACATACCACACCTTCCGGAACTGAGTGTGTTTTAAGTAAATTCCGACAGAAGACTGAGGCACTCAAAAGTGTTTTTCATTTTCAAAAATGTCTTTTAAGCAATTCAACTGTGGTGATGCCTGAAGTCGGAGTGAACTGTATAGTGAACACAATGCCATGACAGTGGAGGATCTTCCACATGCACACAACAAGCAGGAAGTAGGGTTCACTCATGTGCATGCACATGCGTGTAGTCTGCTGAAGACAGCCCTGACTCGCCACATCACAAAACAATCTTCATGTGATAACTATCATAGCTGTCTGATCTCCAGGACGACTCTGAATCCATAGTCAACCTCTGAAGCGTTACCATAAGACCCTAATGTCACTTTACCCTAACATGTCTAAATGCAGAAAAATAAGGCTTCTTTAAAAGTGTATGTTTTAGAAATGAGACCAGGATTTCAGGCAGTTCCATGCGTCACTTACTCTGAAGACATGAAAGAAGACAGTGGGCCGACCTCCTTGGCTTTTTGAAGAGCATGTTTTTGGTTAAATGCGGCCTCTGCTTCTTCTTCATCCTGAACAAACACAAACAGATTTTTTAGGTTGGCTTTTTCACACAAAGAGTTTAATTGTTTGTTACTTTTTCAGCAGAATCTTACATAGTATAAAAAAATTACCTTGGTAAGTTCTTGAGCATTTGCAAGGTTGTCCACAGCAATGGCAAGAAAGACATTGAGCAGTGTATCTGGTAACAGTGAAGTTAGGGAAAGCATTCCTACACTAATAATGCATTATTAATCAGCTTGGTTCTTTGCTGTTGTACAGTATGTCATCCAAGACTTCAACACTAAGTGCGGCATGCTGGACTTGGCCACCTTATTTTATAAGGTCCATCGCGACAGGAAATGTGACTGGAATTGTGAAACCTGAGGATTAAACTAAACAGAACATAATAAATCCAAGTAACTTAATGTCTGTCTATGCCTCTTATGATTTACGAACCTGTGCGCCTAAGAGCGCTTTTCATTTTATTTTGGGCACTCTGCCCTGGCGTTGCTGGTCTTTTTCTTTCTTTTATTTAATTTTTATTATTTTAGAAGCGCATAGCCGCCTCGACCAGCCACATAAGTATTGAACAGCACATATCGTATTTGATACTATTCACTAAAGCTGCGGTGCTTTTCCTCTTGAGTTCAGCCACTCCCTGTCATTTTTGAAGATTTGTGCTTAAACTAAACGTATGTACTCATCAGCAGACCTGTTAATTATCTGTGATGCTCATCTATTAGCGGTGACTTACAGCATACATAACATTAGCATTTCATTCAGCTTCATTAGTTGCTGGGTTGCTTGGTAAGCATAACTAGTAATTATTGTTTTCAGTGTCCAGTTGTGTGGTCGCTCCACAAAACAGTATTGCAGTCTTCTTTCCTGCTTTTAGATTTCTAGTTTTGTGTGTCTGTCTGAACGTGTGTGTGTCCTGAATTGTGAAGCGTCTTTGAGAAGTGTTTTAAAAAACCGATGTATTTTTATCATTATTCTAAATCTGTCATAACTAGAAAAGCTGTGTAGTCAGGCTTTGACAAGTTAAAATCAGTGATAGTAACATGATCACTCTTTGTAAATGTTTGTACATGATCATCGTGGATAAAGAAATCTCTTGTGCTTCAAAGAATACAGTTTCCAAAGAGCGTGAGCACAATGAAGTAGATGGAGGACCACATGCCTGACTTCACTCCCCCTTGAGAGCGAATGCCACTGTACATCACCTCGTTCCAGTCTTCTCCAGTGAGGATCTGAGAAAAACCCTCATATCATTTAACTGGAAAACTGATACTATGAAAGAATTGGCATGGATAGTGTCTTCTCACCTGAAATACAGTCATGATGGCTGCTGGAAAGGTGTCAAAGTTAGTTGGTGTGTAGTCTTCAAAGATGAACCTGGGAAAGAGAGGACCAGTCTGTTTCTGAGGCTCTGTCTGACTATAAAGGCCGGAAGCATTTGGATCTGGGATGTTCCAATTCAATGTTTTTGGAGTCCTACCTGCCACCAAAAATCTGCATGCCGAGGAGAGCAAAGACAAGAATAAAGAGGAAAAGGAGAAAGATGAGTGAGATGATGGACTTCATGGAATTCATTAGAGACACAACCAGATTCCGCAGGGAGGCCCAGTACCTGCAAACACAAATGATTTCCATTGTCACTTGAAATGTCTACAAAACAACTGCCAGTGCCACAAAACATTCATGAATAATTTACTTAGTGATCTTGAAAATCCTCAGTAGACGCAGTGCACGCAGGACACTGATGCCAAAGGAAGTGCCAGGTCTGAAGAAACCCCACAGGACCTCAAAGATACTGCCAACAATCACCTGAACAATACAACAACTATGAGAGGACCAAGGGAACCAATGAACCATAAATAATCACAGTACATTAAAAAGAAAGATACAAATATAAAATCCCTCAGTTGTATGCACAGCTAAACAGAAATGTTTTTAACCTGGTTTTAAACATTGTCAGAGACGAGGCCTGTCTCACAATTTCATGAAGATTGTTCCAGATTTTAGCAGCATTATTTTATTTTCGTCCCATAGAATGATAATGAGTGTCTATATTTTATCATTTCATGTCTTATATTGTGAAATAATATCATGAGTGTTAATCAGTTTTATTTAGCACTTTTTTGGACACTCAAAGATGCTTCACATGTCATTATTCTTTCACTTCAAACTCTGAGGTGATAAAACTACTTTTGAGCCAACAAACCCTCTGACCACCACCAACCATTCACTCATACACCAGACTCATTCTAGGCTATGTGGATGTCTTGCAAACTGTCTTGCTTAAGGACATAATCTCAGTTTGGCACTTCACAGCCTCTCCACTACGGCACCTGGTGTCCCCAGTGGTCTCCTGTCAGAGCACTAACCAGGCGCTGCCCTGCTTAGCTTCAGTGGTCTATCAGTATCTGGCTTTCATATTGAGGTATGGCCATACGAAATATAAAATATATGGTGAAACAAGTATAAAATAAAATATATAAAGTCTTGTTATCTGCGTGGGTGGATCAAATGTTATACCAATGGTATGAAAAAAAGCTCAAAAAGTCATATTTCCCTATTTACCAATGTACTTACGCTACAATCAAAGCAGTTGAAGGAAGAGTGAAAATAGAGTCGAGGTCCCAAACTGTACATCTTCAGAAACATCTCAGTGAGAAAAAGGGCGAGGAACAGGAACTCTGCATAGTCTAAAAAGAAACAATCCAATAAAAGTCGACTGCAGTTAAAACATATAAAACAAACATGTACTGGGACATCACCACGTACAGAGAAAGTCAGACAGCCAAAGAGGCTGATTGTGATGGACAATAGCCACACACAGTGTGTTGAGAGCCACCAGGCCCAACACAGTCCAGTAAAAGGTATGCGTTTTTACAACACGACGAATGGAAATGCGCAAGAGGCGCTCTTTTCTGCGGATATATGCCGCTGGTCCTCGCTTTGAGCGGCGGATGCTTCCTCGGGTCACGGGTATGTCTGCAATACAATGTAAGTCAGTAAGTGTAGTGTCTCCTGTAGTATGGTCAAGCGTCTTCACTCACTCATAGAAGCGATGTCCCCATACTGTTCCTCCCCCATCTGCCCTCCAGGCCCTGTGTCCAGGCCTCTCCTCTTGATGGTGGTCGCTCTCTTCAGCACTGTACAAACAGTTAAGTTTTCACAGAGTAGTGGATTGTGAAATCAGATGGGACTGTACAAGGCTGCAAAGGTAATTAATTACAAAACAAACTTTCTTCTTGTGTAATTATAGCTCGCCACCTTTGTGAATCCTCATTGCACATGAGCACACTTTATTAGTAGGTTTAAGGCAGTATGGGTTACAGTGTTATGAAAAAATAAGACGAAAGAGTGGTGTAAGGTGCAGTTGCGACCTGCTGCATGCTAATGAGCCACACATTCTGGTTCCAAAGAGTCAACCATGTGAGCATCAATTGGGGAATTGGAGAATTATACAGTTGCACAGATTCAATGATTTAAATAACAGGCAGCAAACTTTTCTTTAAAAAAGAGCATACTATAAGGTCCATGCAAAGTGTGAGGGAACAGGCATTGTAGAGCATACAAATCAAAAGATATGAGAATGAGAGCGTTTAGCCTTAGTATCATACAGTTAAACAATAAACTCCAACCCTATGGCTTCTGGACTTTGGGAAAAGGTCATCTTGCAGTTAGCAACCAACACACTGCACTACAATTCTAAGTTACAATAAAACAAATACTCAACCAAGTTTTATGTCCCTGAGCATTTGGCACTCTGATGGACCATATTATCCCCTCACACTTCAGTGAAAGTGCTTTCAAACATTGTCATGTCTTCTGTTGGGGAGGTTGTGTAGAATGAGGAATGCAGTCAGAATTTATTTGAATGAAAATAAGAAAGCCTCAGAATAAATCCATCCATAAAGCTGCAGCAAAGTTTGAACTCACATGCACCTGATGCTGTATGGCTGCATCCAGATTGGTTTACACCTTTGTTTTGAGGGGGAAAGTTTAGTACCAAACACTTACAATCTCAGGAATCATGCTATCAAACACCGCTGCATTCATTGAATTGCTGAAGACTCTCTGTGGCGTTCAGAATGGATAGAGCATGGGGGATGGTGGGGGTGCAGGAGGGGAATGAGGGCGAGTTCAGAGAAAAGACGGGTCTCACCGTAGGAACCACCTGCACTCCACTCTGGGAGACTCCTGAGAGCTGCCAATCAATCCACATTTAATAAAAACCTGCTATTGGAGCATTTACAGGTCAGTGTGGAGTAAAGAGGGTCAGCTCAGCCACTTAGGACAGTGTGCAGGGCTGCAGCGGCCACACTTTACCACTGATGCTGCTGATCACAGAAGCACGAAGGTTGTGGTGGAAAAATAAACACATTTCCAGGTGAAACCCGGAAGAATAGAATATTCAAATGTTCAATACTTCTGTAATTCAGAATACAATGTGAAGTCTATATCATACATTGGTTTCATCTTTTAAGTTGGATTACAGAAAAAAACATGCATTTTCTGAGTTTCATCAGAAAATGCAATTAACAAAATGCATTAACAAGACATTAACAAGACAAAATGCATTAACAAGATATTATTTTTGACTGGGAATGTGTAATCAGAGCACCAAACTTTCATGACTTAATGTATATACACATCCAATTCAAAATACAGTATGAATGTGTAACTGATCCAACTTTTTCAAAATCTGTATGTTCATGTGCAAACAGTTTTTAAAGCACATGCTCCTGTGATCTTGTGTTCAGAGAGCCAGAGTTCCAGTTTAATAAATCAGGAACCTTTTCAATATGTCCTTTACCCCTCAAATATATGTACTGTAACGCATGATTGTCTTTTGCTGCAGAGTCTTGCACTGACTCACCATCAAGAGCAGAAGGTCCTGGATTCTTATTTTCTTCAGCAAGCATCACCTCCTCTGCAGAGAAAGAGAAAATGACAACTGTGTAATTTCAGAGACAACAAATAGAACAGAGCCTTAAGGTCAGGTCTGGAAAGATTAGACACAAAGTTAAATATTGATTTTCATTTTCCCATGAGCTTCAAATGTGTTTTGGAAGAGGCGTGAAGGAACCTGCTCTGTCGATCCAGGCTCTGTAGCCGTTCAGCTCTCTCTCGATCTGCTGCTGTCGCCGCAGCTTCATGAAGGCGCGCCGGTTCTCCACTCGCTCCCTTTCTTTGGCAAACTCCCTAAAACAAATTTGATTTAAAGGGAGGGTCCGTTACTTTTCACATTTTATTCCAATGCAAGCACCAATTAGACCAAACCCACACAGCTTCCGGATTGCTCTCCTCCAGCAAATGTGATTGCGAGTGGAAGGGAGGGGCTCTTTCAAATAAATGACTAATGAAAAATAGTGAAGATGATCATACTATAGGGGCATATGGTCAAAGATATTTATCATATTCAAAATGAAATACTTTGGAAGTTGCAGACATCACCTTTAATCCTAAGACTGTGTTGCTCTTTGAAGACTTTCGCTTTGCATTTGTGAGACTAAAAATAACTCGGTCTCTTTCGGAACATGATAATGACTTTCCCAGTGCCTCCCAATTAACCTTTCAGTGCAACTAATTAAATTATGGATTTTGACGTCCTGTGAAATGCATCATGACCAATAGCCAGTGAAAAGCAAGCCTCTGTTGAACTAAAAATATGTTTTTGGTCAATTTCATGCAAAGAATACAAATGTAATATCTGCCTCCTGCCAAACAGAAGTAGGGCTGACCAACTGACTGATCAATAAGCTGAATGTTGAATAAAAAATAATTCATATTCCATGATTTCTAATTTACGCCTATATCTTGTATCAATCTTTCTGATCTAAAAAAAGATAATAATCAACTAAAAACAAGCCGAATTAGAGATCACACAATTATTAGTATTATTAAAGGGAAGAAAGGACAAAAAATAAATAATAAATAATAAAGAAAAAAAGAAAAAAAAACCTTTTGGCAAAATTGTTGCAAAAAGAAGAATGACAGAGATTACACAATTATGCCTAACTTTTTTGTTTGTTTCATAAATACATGTTGTTTGTCCCAACAGAAAGAGTCTTGTTTAAGTAAAATTTTGTGAACAAATTAGTCCATCAGACTGTCTTCATCTCATGTCATCTTTTGCATACCAGAGCCCTGAGAAGCACTATTGTGTTGGGCTGAGAGCTGATTGGCTGAGGGAGGATGGCTCCCTCTTTCTCAATTTTCTGTCTGAAATCTGATCTAAAGATGTGACAGGTGCCAAACATATATACATGTGAAAACTAGTGATAGAACTATATTACATAGTTCTACAGTTTGGTACCCCAGCTTTAAGTCTGAAGTTAACACAATTTATAAATAAGTGAACGTACCCAGACAAGACTCCCAGGACCAGGTTGAGTACAAAGAAGGAGCCGATGATGATCAGTGGGATAAAGTACAGCCAGTTCCAGCTGGGGCCCAAAGCATCATCCGCCTGAAATGTAAATTCTCATTAGGCAAGGCAAGGCAAGGCAAGTTTATTTGTATAGCACAATTCATACACAAGGCAACTCAAAGTGCTGAATAAAACAAGAAAGCATTAAAATCATAAATAATCACAGAACATTAAAAAGGAAGATAAAAATATAAAATCCCTCAGTTGTATGCACAGCTAAACAGAACCGTTTTTAACCTGGTTTTAAACATTGTCACTCTATTTTTATGCATTATCAGAATATAGAATGCCTATAGAATAGTGTGACACTTTGTAAATTTCTCCTGTGTGAGATTAATAAAGTCTTATCTTATCTTATCTTGAGAAATGATGATGCGACATACATTATATAGCACAGCTGTCCAGCCCTCCATGGTGATGCACTGGAAGACCGTGAGCACTGCGAACAGGATGTTGTCAAACTGGGTGATCCCATCATTGGGGCCAATCCAGTTTTTGCTACAGTTGTATTTGGAGGGACACTGGCGAACTCCGCACGGGAAGTCGACCTCAGAGGAGTCCACTGTCTCATTCTCTGCTCACACAGAAAATAAATGTTGATATAAATGGAAGTAATTGGTGAGGAGGCTGGATGAAATGGCTAATACGTCTGCTGTGTGTGTGTGTGTGTGTGTGTGTGTTCGGAACAGCGGAGGTTAATGACAGCTATGAATGAACAATGAGGCGTCGTGGTGCATTGTTGTTTTTAATTACAGGCTGCGGACGGCGCCGGTTTAATGGAGCCTCCAGGTGCAGTGAATCAAAGCGGATGTGATGATTTGCACCGGTACCTGTAGAGCTGCACACTCTAACAATAAACACGGGATTTCTGACGGCTTTGTTTACTCCATTGTGTTTTACTTTTCTAGTCAGTCCTGGACAAAGAGATGCAGTGAATGGGCAGTGAAAAATGCAAATCATTGTTTAAAGAAAGAAAAAATCATGCTTTTGTCTGCCACATGAATAATGGGGATGTCTTCGATGACTTCCCACTGTCGGCCCACAAATGCACTCACAAACACACACCGTGAACTATTGAGGCAGGGGAGACCGGAGCACCCGGAGGAAAACTACGTCTGAAAAGCAAAAGAGCTAACCACTGCGCCACTTGATTAACATCTGATCTGATAAAACCCTATTACATTTCTAGGAGCCTAAGATGTCTGTACACTAATAATAACATTAAAAGCATTGTGTAATTTGTAAGATTGGATTAATTAAGTGCTTGTACCTTGTATTCCTTTGTCTGGCGTGCAAGTGGAATGTAGTTTTCCGCTATAAAACTCCAGTCCAATGATGGCAAACATTAAAATGGCAAAGAACAGCAGCAGGCCAATCTGCAGCAGGGGAATCATTGCCTTCATTATTGATTTCAGGACAATCTGTAAACCTATAATAAAAAAGCAATCTATGAATACAGAGTGTGTAATTCTACAAAGCAAAAACATTTATTAAAGACATATTTACTGGGGATTCCTGAAACCAGCTTGAGCGGCCGTAGGACACGCACAGCCCTCAAAGTTCGAAGATCCACTGAAATGTTCATGTACGCCCCTGTGGCGGCAAGAATCCTGCAACACAAGGAAAAGACTGACATCAGGAACAATTTATTAAGTTTGTATTCAAGACAATATTACTTTTTATACAAATTAAGCTGTAAATGTCTCATTTTGTGATATCAGTTACAGGAGGAAAATAGTGTTTATTTGGGTTTTAGGGCGTGTGGGAGGATGACTGTGACAACTGCTCTTTAGGAGGCAGTAGTTTCCAGAGAGAGCAGCTCTCCCTCAGGCTTTAGACCACACATTTTCACAAAAATCTCTTACAAACAATGTCACACTTACTTCCCATTGATTAAGTTTGTATTAATGTAATTTGATTCAAAAAGGCAATAGTAAAAAGCATCTTTGTGATTGATGCCTGAGCAATTTTTAAAAAGACTCCTGATAGATTGCGTTTATGCAATTCTATTTCAGTTGAGGGCAGAGAACAATTCAACTCTGTGGTGTCCTGGGTCTTCCCCGGGGCCTCCTTCCGGTGGGACGTGCATCCTGAACAGATGCCCGAGCCACCTCAGCTGGTTCTTCTTGATGTGGAGAAGCAACGGCTCTACTCCGAGCTCCTTCCGTGTGACTGAGATCAGACCACACCAGATCCAGACTGGTTTTACCATATTTTGAGCAGAAACGTCTTCGGAGGCACTTCCTCTTCTTCTTCACATTTTGATGAAAACTGTTTTTAACTAATTAATTTAATCAGTATCAACAGGGAAAGTCAGGGAAAGGAGCTCAGAAGAGTTTTGTATTAGTATTTAATTGGTCTTCTTTTCTGGTCAAATTCTGAATCATGCTACAAAAGTGTACTGAGAAAGAAGAAAGGAAATTTGTGACAGTTTCGTGTGGAATGGCCATCATGAATTCCAACTTAAAAAAATACTTCCATGGGCTGCCTCACATTTTGTAAATAATACAATTAGTTTTAGGTTTACTCCCCTTAAATTGTTTATTTTTTTTAAATGGCCGTTTTCAATCAATATTTAGTAAGACAATTAAAATCGGAAAAACACAGTGAGGAACAACAACTATGAACAAAGACTAGAAATCTGACTTTAGATAGTTACCATAGTTACCACCATCACAACGTTAATGTGGTGGAGGGCTTAACTAAATAATTGTAAAACTTTATCTTAGCCTCTTTGGTCCACTTGAATGCGCGACATCCAGTGTGGAGTGAGTCCCAGCCCGCGGTCACAGTTGTCAGTGGGTGACAGCAGAGAGACATTGACAGATCCCACACAGCGGCGACACTTCCACTTTGACAAACGTGTGATGACATCCCCACACTGCACCATACGCTTGTGTGGTGACATACTCTACATGCCGCTGTCACATATGGGATACTATGATACGAACACACGCACCTGATCGTTCTGCAGGCAGGCATTCCTCAGAGATAGAATATGCTCAGGCTATTCAGGCCATTCACACGATTCAACAAAACAAGATCCTGACAATAAAGAATTCAAATAACTTGAAGAAGTGGAAAAAAGGTCTGTGACTTATGAACATGATGTCCCTCGTGCTACAACCTGGACTGACCCGGAGCGTGTCTGAAAAGGTTACTCCGTAAATGCGTAACCATGGATGTATTTTAATAATCCATAATTGCACAAAGGAGAATGTGAGCGTTCTGACCAAACAGCGGGCTGTAGAAGAGAGTGGAGCTAGAGCGGGAGAAGAGTGAGCCGAGTTGCACTAAAGTGTGGATTTATAGAAAACTGATTTATTTCAAAAGAAAAACAGTTGGATGACAAGGGACACTAAAATCCTCACAACATCCGACCTTTGTGAAAGCTGTAAGCTCTGTGTCCACTGAGGACTAGCCGTTTTATTTAACATTGAGGTCTATGAGGAAAAAAATCCCTCTCAGCCCATGTCACTTCAGCTGCAGTACCGCAGGTGGCCCCTTGTCCATTCTGTCCATCTATCCAGATAATATAATACATCTCACATGTTTTACTGACCGTGAAATGAAGTCTGAGGCGCATATTTACTGTAGATACCAACAATAAAACATGTACTAATTGTTTTATTTCCTTCTATTCTATTCAATCTTTTCCTTCTGCATTTGTTCCGCAGTCTATTCCTCTAAATATAAGACATATGAATCTTTACATAAATAACTTATTAGAGGCTTGTGTCCAGGGGTTTAACCCGCCGGTCTGCAGAATCAGAGGCAGCGGCTGCCTCCGGCAGGGTTATCTGTTGTCAGGACAACAGCTCACAGGGACAACACCCTCATGCCCTGTCTTAACTCATCAATGCATCTGATGACAAATGGAAGCTATAAGTGAACACGACAGTTCAGCCTGTGTTACAAGAGCAGAAAGACTTAATTTAGATTCAAACAATCACAGAACTCGAGGCAGATGTTTCTTTAGCTCTCAAGTATTTATCAAAAATGCATCTTAATTCAATTTCACTTTAATGGTCCATCCATCCATCCATCCATTTTCTACCCTTTAATCCATTTCTGGGTCAGGGGGGTGGCAGTCAGAGATGCCACCCAAGTCTCATAGCACCAGCCCCTCACTGACCCTCTGCAGGTGGTGAGTCCACAGGAGGACGGCTGCTCTCTGAGTGTGAGCATAGCCTTGATCTTTCAGTGGGGGCTTTGGGCAAAGTGGGGTTAAGTGTCTTGCCCAAGGACACAACGACAGCAGTCATCAGTGGGAGTCGGTGGAGAAGGTGCAGAGGTGGGAATTGAACCCACAACCTTCTGGCCTTAAGGCCAATGCTCTACCAACTGAGCTACTGTCGCCCCCACTTTAATGGTATATCAAATAAATTAAACAAAAGAAAGAGGCATCTACCGGTGTAGATGAATTCTGCTCTGCCTGTGAGGAATGATAAAGGAGCTGATAAAAGAGCAAATGTCTTCTGTTCCTCATAGACCTGCCAAATGTGGGTCACAGAATGCAGCAGTTGATTGTGTTTTACAGAACGATTCTTTCCCAAAAACAAATATTCACAAACACAAGACATCTACAATATCAACTGCCAGATTACTTCAGTTCATTAATGAATCTGGGAACACAATGTTATTACAAAGCTGTGATTTCCCCAGACTTAGTGGAGCTTTCTCTGATCTCACTTGAAGCTATCACAAAAAAGCACCTTATTATTGCATGTTCTCTGTTTTAGCTTTCTTTTGTGGACCACACTTCTCATCATGGGTTTCGCTTGGCTAAATCAATAGCCACTCTCCACTTTTTCAGGATCAATTTCACTCACACCACCTGCTGCTGGAGCTGCTTGGCATCTTGATAACACATTTAGACCAAATTTCTCTCAAGTAATCATGCTGCGAATGAAAGGTTCGAGGACTTATTTTTTTACGGACAAGCATGATTTCTCCATGTGTTTTTTTCGGAAGCTTTGCCCAACAACACAATGGTGACAGAAGCGGCCGGTGGGAGTCTCTGCTGCCAGTTCTTGCCAGTCTAATGAAGGGCTTGCTAGTGAAATGGTGCCAATTAGTGTGTGCGGCACTCTTCAAGGCATCAGCTCAAGTCCACATATACTGTATCTATTCTGGCTATCACTATGTGTCTCCGGAGCCAGTGATTGCATCGTGTTGACTCTAGCAGATTGTTGTGTATGAGACGAAGAGGTGAAGAAACACTTCCTCTATTGCCTGTGGCCTCCTGCAGCAAGAGAGCGCCGAGACAGACTCTGAAGCCATAATATCAGATCCAAAGCCAAAATATGATTAAGCTAAACTATCTGTGCAAAGTAAAAAGTGCAATTTTAGAGGTTCTGTTATACTTTCCATGATCATAATTTTTGCACACACCAAACCCTTGATAAATTATATTCTAAATGTAAGCTATTAACCTCTTTTTACTAAATAGTTTTATTGTTTATTTGGTTGGGACAGTGCAGGTTTATGAACACATCACTCCGGATTGTAGCATCTGTTGTCCCACATTTGCACTCACAAACTCACACTTCAACCTGAACTATTGTACATGTTTTGTAGTGGTAAGGGAAACTGGAGCATGCAGAGGAAACCGGAGCACCTGGAGGAAACCGGAGCACCTGGAGGAAACCGGAGCACCCAGAGGAAACTGGAGCATACACAAAGAGAACATGCAAACTACACTCAGAAAGGCCCTGTTCCGACCAGGTTTCGAACCCACAACCTTCTTGCTATAGAAGTGCTACAGACTAAAACTCAATGATGACGGTCAATGCCATTGTTTAAAGTTAATAGGTGGAGAGTTTGTCATGGGAAGCAATAAAGGGCCAGAAAATAATACGTAGTAGAATAGCAAGGGCAAAAAGGCGGTAAACACTCACTCCGAAGAACTGACATTTACTAACAGTTTTGTAAATAAAACCAATGCTAATTTTATTGAGTAATATTTATTGCTCCTAGCCGTCTCTTGGCAGAACTAGAAAACGTCTGGTCTTTTTTTACTGCCTGTCCCCCCAGTGAAAACTAAAGATAGGGATGGAAGTTTTCTGCCCCACATTTCTGCACAAGTCTGCGGGCTGGAAAACTTTCTGGGCAAAATAACTACTCTAATGTGGTAGGCATGGATGCTTGCTTGTTGCCCACATCTATTGGTTCATACAGTCTGTTTCTTACAAAGTGAAAGACAGCTGGTCGCTCAGGTGATTTGATCAGCGATCTCATCATCCTCACTCAGGCCATAATAGGGTTACAATCCTCACATGAAGAATCTTTAGATCAGCCTGAGAGACTGGAGCAGCAGTGATAGCAACCATTTAATACTTCCATGTAAAAAAATCAAATCGATAATGTTAACAAACTCAACATTCAGGGCAAATCAAAGATGAAATAGCCACAAATAAACATGCTCTCGGAGAGCCCATACCTCGCATCCCCAGTTTCAGCTCAATCTGTCCAGTGTCATTCATCATCCAGTTATCATCCACAGTTATTGTAATAAATTATTTGTAAGTATTATAATTAGACTGAACACTTAATAAAACATTTAATTTGTACCATCATAAAATGGGCAAAACCATAAATGTACAAAATGTGGCAAAATTCTGGCAACCAAACTAAAAATAAGGCCTCACGCTGTTCATGGCTTTGAGATCCAGAAAAAATGCCTGACCATGGTAATTATATATAAAGGTTCTCTTATCTTATCTCATCTCATGATATTCACAAGATAAAACTACATTTTGAAAAGGGAGAGGGTTATTATATTGCATGGACCAGATATCTGAAACCCTCAAATAGATCACACTGTAGCTGCAGTCACTATTAGAAAATCGCAAAAATTGCTGTTATTACAGTAAATGAGGTTCCACTGCAGACTACAAAAATATAATTGAAAAAAGAGGATTCACCCTCACATGAGACAAACCCTTTTGGCAGAAAGCTTAACAGTCTGTCTCATAACTGCATTCACTTCATTATAGACGTTTAACAGGATTGTGCCTGTCCTCGCTGCTCTTCCTGATGCTAGTTCTGGTCTCCATCATCATCAGTACATTGTCCTTTTCCTATTGCTACCTCCCTATTGCTGCTTCCCTCCTGCTGCGTGAGGGAAATGCTCATCAATTATAAAACAGCCAAGATCATGTGGAATTCTCTAAGAAACATGCTTTCCAATGCTATTGAGAATGGATTAATATTTTAGCTGTGTGAATGTAAACATACATTGCGTTTTATAAAAACAGTTCTTTGAAAATGCAAATATTTCTCCCCTTGCTCAGTGCTCTGATCTCCAACTGCTGAAAAATGCACTTTTATGTCATGTCTTCTTTCCATGAACTATGGGAACAGCAGAGTGCAATCACCGCAATAGACTCTGAGTCTATTGAGATCTAGCCATTATGAGATAATATTTACACATAAATCAAAAGGTAATAAGATTTAGATTATGCATGGTGTCTGCAAACCACTTGTTGCCATGGAGATTAAACTTAACATGCACATTTTAAAAATAGACTCTCAAGGGGTCCATAGTTTCCGCAAACACATAAGTCTCTTCCATGACCTATTTCTTTTTCATATCAGCAGACAATGTTGGCAAGAATGACATTTATTGCATGGTTATGATTTATCTCATAGAGAATATGAGATGAAATGCCCCAGGGCCTAGATCCTGGTGCTGGTAGCTAAGAGAGGGGATAAAGAGCTGTCCTGCTGACGAGGGGGGGATGAGGAGGAGGAGGGTTGCTGCACAAATAAAATGCTGCTTGAATGACAGCTTTCTGCGTGGGCAGGACAGAGCGTGAGCTAGTGCACACATAGTCCTTCTGTCTTCCAGTCTGAACTTCTGCTTTAGCTTAATTTGTTTAAGACCAAGGTGGTCTTAAAATGTCAATTCTAGAATTTGTCAATTAGACCAGATTAATCTTGTTGGACTGGTTTCATACACACATAAAAAAATAAAATATAAAAAAGACAAACCTTTCGCCCTTCGCGGGCGCTTATCCCTCTCTTAGGTTGTTCCAGGGATCCGCTGTAACCACTCTTCCAGCTTCGGGGTCACTGCCCCGAGTGCATCGATCACCGTGGTCACTACTGTCACCTTTACCCTCCAGGCCCTCTCCAGCTCCTCTCTGAGACCTTGGTATTTTTCAAGCTTTTCATGCTCTTTTTTTCTTGATGTTACCATTGCTTGGAATTGCCACGTCCACCACCACGGCTGTCCTCTGCCCTTTGTCTACCACCACAATGTCAGGTTGGTTCGCCCATTACCATTTGGTCGGTCTGTATCTGGAAGTCCCACAGGATCTTTGCACGCTCATCCTCCACCACCTTTGGAGGAGTTTCCCACTTAGACCTTGGGGTTTCCAGCCCATACTCTGCACAGATGTTTCTGTACACTATGTCAGCCACTTGGTCATGGCGTTCCATGTAGGCCTTCCCTGCCAGCATATATACGTATGTATGTATATACAGTACATATATATACTGTATATATATATATATATATATATATATATACATAGAAATGTCACTCTTGCGTGTGCGTGAATGATTGGTTGTGTCTCCAATTGCCTTGCTTCTGTCAGTCTGTCCCAGGGCAGCTGCAGCTACAGTAATAGTTTATAACCACCGCCGTTATTCAATCCATCAATATAAAGTATATTTGAGTATCCAAAAAAGATATATAATTTGATGAGTGATATATACAAGTTACATGGTTACAATTAAATATTGTAGCTCTAAAGACAAAGGACAAGCACCTTCCAGTTTATTTAATTAATAATAATAATAATAATAATAATAATAATAATAATCTGTGTCTTGAATGTATTATGCTGTTTTATTCTTAATACATGTTTTTTCTGTGGTAACATTATGTAGCAATTATTGTACTGAGTCCAAGACAATCTAAATGTTTATTCTAATATGGTTATTAACAACTTTTTTTCACATTCCAATCTTCTCGCTCTTATTATTTGTCTGTTGAAAACTTCTTCTTGCTTTTCCAAACAACCATCCAATCATTAGTTAATCCAGACTCACCCGCTGAAGACCACGATAAAGTCCATGACGTTCCAGCCGTTCCTGAGGTAGGAGCCTTTGTGAAAAACAAATCCCAAAGCAATGACCTTTATTCCCGCCTCAAAGCAAAACATCCCAATGAAGTAGGGCTCTGTCTTCTCCTGGAACAATGAAGGTTCAAATATCAATAGAAAAAAGTTATGGAGACACAGTTGTTACTGAATAAAACTCCTGACTCACCAGTCTTTTGGACATGGGCGTTTTGTCTTCTCCAGGCAAGTGCTGCTCCAAGGCCAAAACAATACAGTTGGCAATGATAGTGGCAAGGATCATGTACTCAAACGGAGTGGGAACTTAAGTCAAGGAAAACTTTACATCACATTATGGTTATGTCAGCAGAAGGCAAGTTACTTTTTTAGCTGCTGCGTACAAACAGTTTATACGACACGCCTTTTCCTTATATATTTTGTCTGTAATGAAGAGCGCCTTTTGTAACAACAGACAAATACAACAATGCACACTGAATGAGAACCAATTAACCAAGGTCCGTTTATATCCAGGACCAGACAGAGGTTGTTCCTGATTTCAAACCACGTACAAAGCTCAACACAAAAGGACGGAGAATGGATGAGATGAAATTCAATAAACATGGTCACACCGCGCACAAGCAGATCTGCTATTTGTTTATTGAAAATGAGTTACAAAGCTTTTTTTCCCTGTTCTTTGTGTGCATGCAAGCAGAAACAGGAGATCACAAAAGAAAAATGATGAGAATGATAGAGAAAGAAGACTGGTGGCAGAGGTATAGGTTGTAAATAAGGAGCAAATGGGTGCCAGATATGACAAGGGTGAAAGTAAGAAGGTCATTCTGGGACAAACTGAGGACAGATTGTTTATTGAGAAAAAACATTTACAATATCATGCATGTCATTTCGTTCAAGGAGTGAAAAACATTTGACATGTAGACATAAAGGAGATACATTATGCAAAAACTACATTAACCAGCCTTTTTTTAGATCCATACAAGCTTAACATAATAACTACCCCTGTCGGTCCAAAAGCTGCAAAAACCTGCTACTACTGAGACACAGGTGGAATTCGATAAGAAACTGGCACATTATCCTTGACTTCACCATTTTGACATTTTTCACATATTTCTATTGATTAATTGATTTTTTAAATTTATTGCCCAGCCCGAAGTTATGATAAATATCCAGAACTTTTTATGCGTCACATTGCTTTCTCCTCATCAACACGTCCAACATCACCGTCTCCAGCTCAGGTCCCCAAGCTCAACCCAAGACACCAACCTCAGCATCAGTTTCAATACAATATACAGAAAATTCAATTAACACCCGATGTATTGTATAACCAAGAGGAGTTGATTTTTTATTTAATAATAATAATAATAATAATAATGCATCGGTTTTATATAGTGGTTTTTTGGGCACTCAAAGACGTTTTACATGTCATTATCCTTTCACTCCAAACACGGTGGTGATAAACTACTACTGTAGCCACAGCTCAGTTCTGTAATTGCACGAAGGCATTGCCGTCATGACACACATTTTAAAAAGTTAATTAGGGCGACAGTAGCTCAGTTGGTAGAGCGTTGGCCTTTGAGCCAGAGGGTCGTGGGTTCGATCCCGACTTTCACCATCGACTCCCACTGTTTGCTGTCGTTGTGTCATTAGGCAAGACACTTCATGCCAATTGCCTAGAATGAGTCTGGTGTGTGTGTGAATGGTTGGTGGTGGTCGGAGGAACCGATGGCACAGACTGCTTGCCTCGCTTCTGTCAGTGTGCAAAACCGGTGCATTATTATTATAATTAAATAAAAAAAAATCTCCTGATTATACAATACACCGGGTGTTGATTGAATTTTCTGTAGACCTATATTGTATTGAAACTGATGCTGAGGTTGGTGTCTTGGGTTGAGCTTGGGGACCTGAGCTGGAGACGGTGATGTTGGATGTGTTGATGAGGAGAAAGCAATGTGACGCATAAAAAGTTTTGGATATTTATCATAACTTAGGGCCGGGCAATAAATTTAAAAAAATCAATGAATCAATAGAAATATGTGAAAAATGTCAAAATGGTGAAGTCAAGGATAATGTGCCAGTTTCTTATCGAATTCCACCTCTGTGTCTGTGTGGTTTTTGCATTTTTGGAAGATATAATAGATGAAAAGATTCCTGAAAACACTTCATGAGTTTCCTGAGGACAAAAGTTTATAAATGTGTTGGAATGAGAGCAAGTCATTTACTGAACCTAATATCCATCCACTGTAGACATCATTCTAATCCAATGTTCATAGAATCCTCAAATAATGATCTTTTGAAAAACTTTATAGAAGATAGATCTTATTCAACCTGATCCAATCAAAAAAAATGTCTAAAAAATTGAATTAGTATTTGGAGGAAAAGTGAGGGGCCAGCCTTATTGTGTGTGTGTGTGTGTGTGTTTGCGCGCATGTGTGTGTGTGAGTGTGAAAAAGAAAAGAATACGCTATTTCAGATGTCAGTACACATGTCAAAAATAGTAATATTAAGCTTCACTGAATAAATCATTGGACTTTGGTGACTTCCATTTAAATCAATTTAAGATTTTAAGTTTGGAATCGTCCAAATGAAGTTTTTTTTTTTTTTTTTTTGTTGCGACAGCGCCCAGGCTTACCACAACAAAAGAACTAAAATATATATGGATGCAGCCATACAGTACAACATTATTTCTCTTATGAATTATGTTCAAGAGATGACATTTTATACTGCCGCCTTAGCCTATCCCCACTTTCTCCATTACCCTTAGGCACACAGCAAATAACGAGACAAGATGAAGACAGAGTGGTTTGGAAACACACGAGGCTAAAATGAAGATGGAGAGAGAGACAAGGGAAGTCACCACGGCAACAGCTTTCTCTGCGAAAGTCGGATGTCGGAGATGGTTCCCAGCAGCTCAAGTGTCTCTGCAGTGACATGCATATATAGGTGGAACTGGTGAGGTATGATAATAGGCTAATTTTAACTGGAGATTATGTTAGTGATGTGGCAGTTCTGCAGAGGTGGTGGTGTGAAAGCACAGACTGGCTGACAACTCCATGGACATCCTGCTCTGAGCAAATATAACTCTGCTCAAACTTTGTGTTCACCTCCAAAAGAAAAGAGCTAATTCGGGCACGCGGATTATTGAGAGCTTCACATACATGCCTTAAATATGACCTCTCTGATCTGTTATCAGAACAATCTTTAGAGAACAAATATTATTCATTATTTGTGTTCATGTTTTGTGTCCCTTAAACATGATCTTGATCTGGTTGACTTTGGCCATTTCATGTTTTAGAATGTGAACTCATTTTGAAGTTGAAAATATGGATGAAAAGGATGAGTGTTGAGAGAGATGACTGTCATCTAGGGGTAGAAGTGGAAAAAATACATTTTGCTGTATTTACAGTTAAATTCAAGATGATGTGGTCTAGTTAAAGGCATGCAGTTGTAATACTGTGTTCCTCTGTTTGTATGGACTCCATTTCCTTTTGTTTATGTTATTTTTTGTGTCATGACCGTGTCTATGTTATTTTGCTGCTGGTGGGAAAAATAATGTAGTCTGACTCTGAGAAACATCATTAGAGTGGAGGAACTGACAGACTATTTGAAGGAAATGTATGTTTTGGAAAAGTTGAAGACTGATTTGTCTAACGACCTTCCATAGCGACAGGTTCAGGAGCAGAGGAATGCAATTGAGAAAACAAGGATTTTTGTGAGGGTAAGGAAAACATTTTGTAATCTGGTTAAAAATTCCAAAAAGACATTTTCTACATAATATCTGCCCTAATACTGACGGTACACAATGGCGAAGATGTGAATGTCAACAAGTGATTGTCTAACGTCTTTGTTGTGTGGAGCAGTCAGCTGCACGCGACGTGTGGGGATCAGTTTGGAAAGCGGAACATCTTGTGTGCAGTCTTGAGAGAATCTGGCAATCTGACTCTGTGCCTCAAACAAGTGTAAAAATAGACAGTGTGAATCTGTGATTATGCTTCCGACCGGAGCAATGGGGGTGAAAATAAACCATTGTTACGTCAGCCAAGTGCTTCTATAAATAAAATAACAAGGACGATACTCAATGACACTTTTATCTTCTGCAGAACATTCTTTACACACTCTGGACAGTAGTGTCAAGAAGATATGTTTTCCTATTTTGTGACACTTACAAAATAAAAGTTTCAAGTTGTACTTGAAATTGAAAGTAAACCATAATATTAACCAAATAATCCAACATAATTTAAATAAAAAAATATAACCTTAGCAAGTATGGATTGTCAGTGTATGTCCTGACTTCCCCTCCGTCCCATTTTTAACCTTACCAAGCTTACCAATTATTGCAAAACATCTCTTTTTTTTTTTTCTCCCAGCAATGATGAAAAAAGAATTTCATCCAACCATCAATAATTGAGTGGTGTACTATCTCAATAGGAAACTTCCCGCTGTGGGAGTTCCCAGTAGGGATCAGAGAGGAGGAGCAGCTGCCAGCCCTCACCAGGCTCCACTGCAGTTTGCCCTAAGCCTGAAGTTCATTAAACAGTCTGCTCCCTGCTATGACACATTCAACCACCAACTGCCACATTGATGCATTTTTCTCCATCAGTATGCTCCCACCAACAAGCTGTAACATTGCTGTAAGATTTCATTCCAGTTCATCCGAAAAGGGCGTCTTGACTAATTTGACGTAAATGAATCTGTCACTTCAGCACTTAGAGAGAAGGGTCTGTTACTGTGAGGTGACAGCAGAAAATGGTTCTCCACACAGACTGACCTTTAAGTGATCGGTTGTGATCTGTGCAAGAGTGTGATTTTTATGTTTGAGCCTGACACAAACAGATGAAGCTATATGCAGAATTACAGTAACTGCTGGCTATCAATTTACAAATAAAATGTCTTATGGCTTAAGAATGAATACGTTCAAATTGTTTAATTGTTTTTAGATGTTGCACAAGGCCTTGCCCCGATCTGGTGTCTTTAAAACCATATGAGCAGACACTGTAATAGGATGAACTGAAGAATGATGACCTGAAGCAACAGCAAGTGACACAGCAGACCGACATCATCAAAGAATATCTGTTAGTCAGATGCATTGAGCTCAGAAGATGTAACAAGACACCCCCTGCACAGGGCTACATAACCTGCAGGTCATTCAATTTGAAGACTTCTCCTTAGGTGCCACCATGATAATTAATCATATGGAAATGAGGAAGAATGTTTTATATAAGCCATAGAAAGAACACATGTATAGTTTTCCCATGCTAATAGTAGATACTCTCTCACAAAAAGTAACAACAAACACAACAGATAAGTCCCCTCCACACCTGCTTAGGTGCAAAGCCAATTGTCATGCACATTAATACAAATAGCAACAGTGTACAGTGCAACGGTCAGGGCAACAGGTGGCTTTAGTGGCAAGTTGAACGTCAATACATATCATGAATAACTCAAAATGTTTAGATATCAAGACTATGAAATGAATGTGGCTATATGTAATTATACTTCAGAATTAAGTCTGGACCCGTAGCATAATTTGAACATGTTTGTGCTAACCCTATGTTATTGTATAGCGTAGCTTTGATTTTGTATATCCAGACTAAATAACAAGGCATCAGTTGCGCTGCACTCACTGCACTGTCCATGGTGCTGATATTGGAGACACCACCACCAGGGTGGCACATAAACTTATTTACTCTGTAGCCACCACGTAACACGACACTGGGTCAAACCTTTGTGCAGCCTACGTGATTGTGTTCAACACACCTGACTTTTTTGTTTTTTTACACCAAAGGATATGGCCACTCAATGATCTTCTTGGCATACTTCCTGACCATGTTGTCCTCACCAAAGATGAAGAGAGAGCGGTTGACGGTGAAGCAGTTTTCCCGCACTGGTATAGGGTTGTACAGAGCCATGGTGCGAGCTCGCTGCGCTTTGGTTTGCTTGAAGGCTGGGGAGATGCCACCGGTGGACACAGCCGCTCCATCGCGGTTCCTGTTGCGCTCGGATCCTCCATCTCCTGAGCTCAACAAGACCGGAACGTCTTCTCCAAATCGGGCCATTCTGCGTCAAGGGCACACGGATAAACAAAGTCGTGTCAGAGACAGAGGAGATGTAGGCTCCAAGAGGGTGCGGTGCGCTCCGCGTGACAGGCGCGGCACTGCCACGCCACTATCAGTCCATCTCTGGCAATAGGTCAATAAACAATGGTGGTTTTCCCAAATTAGATTTCTGAAAGCGCACAAAACGGGTTTTCCAAGTCTCTTAAAAGTATGAAGGCCTGGAAACCGCCGCCAACATTTTAGCGCGCATTGTGTGTAATCCCTTCCAAAAAGTTGCTTAGCGTAATGAGTGAGCTATTTATCATTGTAAATAGAAAAAAGACGTCAAAAATGACACTTTGTGCAAAAGGAACTGTAGCCGCACGAAGAATCAACAGGTCACATCTAAAGTCAATCCATTCCCAGTCCCTGGAGTGAGCAGCGCCGTCTCCACAGCCCGCGCTCATATTCAGAGCACATCCCACTGTCCGGTCCACCTGCAGCGTGAGGAAAAAAGAGAAAACAAACTTTGTCGATCTCTATTATATTTTCTCAGGAGCAACGCGCCGTGAGTCACTATCGACGCTTCGCAAATGAACTGGAAAATTGAAGAAGTCTACGGCTGGATGAGACACACGGTGTTCAGCGGGAGTGGACCTGACCGCATCACACACCTCCTCAACATTTAGCCAACCCCCCATCAACTGTGCAAGACGATGTCACTGCAACACAACTCAACGGGCAACACGTGAATACAAATCGGGCAACATATGCTGAATACAACACAGCTTAAGGAATGGAGCTGCAACACTTAACACCCGATTGTGATACTTATTTTCTGTCAGACATTTCAGAGTGGTCCATGAATCAATAATTTCCTGACTTTTTCCAATTGGTGAAACAAACTATAGGCTTGAATATTTGATATCGACACCACCTGTAATCTGTGATAGGACCTCTTATCGGTGACATGGGGAGTGCGCGGGCTAAATAACAGCGCCTGCAGGGATGATAGTGAGGGGGCGTCAGGCTTTGTGCCACCTGGAAGTGCGCATATTCCCACACGGAGAGGCGCGTGGCAGCTCATGGGATCTAGGACACACACACACACACACACACGCTCGCACACACACACACACACACACACACACATGAATGGCTTTCTTTGTGGGCTACCAGAATTGATACACACGAGCAAATTGGGAATTGGGCAATATAAATAACGGATCAGCTCAAGAGAGGAACATACGAGTCTAAATCAGGACCATATGGGAAACCACAGTGAAAAGTCATATCCAAGTTTGAAACAGAAAGAAGAATTTGTGTTTTGTTTGTTCAGGATTTGACAGACTTGCAGCAAAATATGATGATCTGGAAAAGATAAAAGGAATAGTGAAGTCATGACTCTAAAAGTTATAGGCCTAAAATTCTGTGTATCCAGTGTATTTTCATGTTGGAGGTTTGTGAACCATACAGATGTACTATTTTTATACACACAGGGATAGAGGATAAGCAACTATATGAAGTCTTACCTGAAGAACAGTGGAATAGAGAATATATAAGGAAGCACTTTTATTACATGCTACAACCTGAGTAAAAGCTTGTTTATTTCATTTCACACGTCTCGTTAATTTAAGAATCAGTGACGAAGGCTGTGATCACCCATGTGCTTCTTCCTCATTAACACAGCTCACAAAATGTTTTAAAATAGACTCACGGGAGAGAATAACATAATCTGATTATCTCAAGCGACTTTCGTGAGGGAATGAAATCGCATCGGTTTGCTTGTTCTCTTTCTGCATGGCGTGAATGTTTGTGCACATGGCTCTTGCTGCCTGTGTTTTGGGAGGATGCTGCAGCGTGGGGAGTGGGGTTATCAGTGTTAATGAAGGCTTAGCAACAGGGAGGAATGACCGTGGAAATTGCTCCCTGCGAGAAAAACAAGACCTTTGAGCTTCTCTTTCAATTCTGTATGTACAAATCTGTATTTATATTTTCTTCATCTTCAATGAGATATAGCTGGGATATACAGTATGCACGCATGAGCATAATAATGTCAGTCTGTGTAAAATCAAGAATTCCGAATATATCATGCTAAATAGATTCTTTGTTTACCTCAATTCTCTTTTATTAAGAATTTGAACCACATTTGCATATCACTTTTCCTCTTTGAACTTTCCGAAATATTTAACCAAGCCTTACCAAAATATACAAATTAACGTAAATGTCCTTAAATTGCCCATACACTTCGGATGTGGTGCACTTTTGAATGAAAGGAATTCATATTCTGATTTATTCAGACATTTTAACATTCATTACATGAAAATAGAAAATGAATACACATGATGTCTGAAATGGAATAGGCAGAAGCTAAGGCTTATTGCACCTCTCCCTATTTACAAAACAAAAAAGCTGCCAATATTTAGCAATACAATGAATTGAAACATGTTTGAGCTGAGTGAAGTGGATAACCTGTGATATTGTTAATCTGGTCTTTGTTTAGAACAGGCTTCACAGAACAGAACGTGCAGTGACAGTCGACACACAGAGGACACGAATGGAAACAGCACAATAACGATGAAGGCGACACGCTGTAGTAAAAGATGGAAGTTGTGCTTGTGAGTAAAGCATGTCAACACATTTTCATCACGGCAGGGGAGGCACGATCACAGCTCCGTGAAGGGCTCGCTGGACAAGTATAAAAGAGCAGTGCAGAGCTGTGGATGCATTCAAACAACGCTTTAATGGAACTTATCATGATTATGAACAATTCTGCAAGGTTTATTGATCGACAATCATACATACGGTGTACAATGTGTTTTTTGCAGACAAAAAGACTCTAAGGTTTAAAAAACAAATCAACTTAAATTCAAATTCAGTGAGAAGCGAACGTCACAGAGCTGAGTGGATCTTCAACAAAACCGGCTGTCTTTCCACTAACTTGGTATCCATAGCAACAGGAAATCTTCAAGTCTGTGGAGATCATAGTTTAAGGTAATTTATTAAACCACATCCTCCGTTTTGTCACTCCAAACCAAACATGTGCGATAGTTCTCACAACTAGTCTATATTCTCTATTGAGTCAAAGTTATTCATATCCATTCCCAACAACTTACTACGACAATGTGTGTTTTTAATCAGTATTTCATTTCAAAGTACAACACAAAGTGGCAGACCAATGTGAAGTAAAAGTAAAATGTTACAGTTATTTTTGCAAGTCCTCCCACTTAAAAGGTATATAACAAAGCATGAGAGATGCCTGTAACTGAAGTCATAGGTATTCTTCAACTATGAGAGACAAAATGACATTTCTATACTTTTTGAAGATCCCTTTGTTGGCAAAGACAGAGGCAAAACATGTTCTGTGAATCTTAAATCTTAGGTTTCCCCACACTGTTGCTGGCATTTTGGCCCATTCCTTCATGCAGATATCTTCTAGAATCTAGAGCAGAGACTGGCTTGGTCACTCCAGGACCTTGAAATGCTTCTTACGAAGCCACTTCTTCGTTGCCTGGGCATCCCATCATATTGATCTCAGTTTGGGATCATTGTGCGGCTGAAAGATCCAGCCATGTTTAATCTTCAATCTTGCCGATGGAAGGAGGTTTTCACTCAAAATCTCACGATATATGGCCCCAATTATTCTTTTCTGATCAATCCTCCTGGTCCCTTTGCAGAAAAAAACACCCCCAAATCATCAAGTTTCCACCCCCATGCTGCACAGTAGATATGGTGTTCCTTGGATGCAACTCTGCATTCTTTCACAGTTCAATTCTTTTTTTTTTTTACAAAAAAGTTCTATTCTGGTTTCATCTGACCAGAGGAAATTCTCCCAATCCTCTTCATCTAAATGCTCTTTAGCGAACTTCAGCTGGGCCGGGACATGTACTGGCTAAAGTGTGGGGACACCTCTCGAACTGCATCCAAAGAACACCATTTCTACAGAGAAGCATGGGGTGGAAACTGGTCAACTCGGTTAAGTCTTTCAAGACAGCTGCTGCTGTGATTTAGGGCAATACAAAATAGATTTAATTGAATTGAAAATAAAAAAAATCATGTGTTTTGTCTGTGTGACTACTGTTCAGAAACATCTGAAACTTCTGTTCAGATGTTACTGCACACCTTTGTACACAGCTCCACTGTGGTGTAAATATAAAAAGGCCACGTTGCAGAAGATTAATATTGCCTCGGGTCAACAGCGTTCAGGCAAACTTTATATTTTGAATTCTTTAGTTGCCTTAATGACTTTCTGAACTCCTCAGTGGTTGCACTGGTGAACCCCAGGTCACTTGTGCCGTTCTGTACAGTCTCCTCTGGATACACATGTACACAATAAGATATGACTATAATTTGGCTTTCACTTTACAGTTAGTTGTTTGTTACTTTGTTGTGGTCTTTGAGTTGTATGCATATCTTTTATAAGCCACTGTGATTACATTAAATCACTACACTCGTTTTATTTCTCTTAAAGAATGCAATTTTTTATCTTGGAGAATATACCTACTCTTCTGTCTATTATGCAATTATAATTTGGGATTTGATATCAATACATTCCATTTGATGTGTAGTACAGTAGGTCTGCAACAAGTGAATCAATTAATTGCAATGAATCAAATATTGAAAGAGTGGTCAACTAATTTAGTCATTGATTATTGTTTTTTAACCTTACACAGAGTGCCTGACTGCAAAATGACCCATTAACCCACAGGGATCCAAACAACTAATCGATTAAACAAAAGGAAAATTGGACAACTAATCAAATATCAAAATCATTGTTTACACCAGCCCTAGATCTCTACAAACCGCTGTGTTTACCCTGGGTCTGTCAGTTTACCCTCAAATGTGTGTCGCTCTACGTCTGCGGCTCGCTCCTGATTTCAGCGTGACACAGAGACACCGGACAGACAGTCGCTAGAGCCAGACCAATTGATGTGGCGAGAAATGAAGGGGCCTATATTTAGCTTTATTGAGATGGTAATGCTTCAGACATGAGAGGGAAGCTGCATGCATGTTCGTTAATG